TGTTGTTCGAATGCAGCAGGAAAGCCTCCTTACTTTGGACCAATCAAAGGCCCTCTTGATTTCACTTGTCACTAGTCCAAAGGGCTGTAACACCAGCCGTCATCCTCACCAGCTGGTATCTCATCATAACAAGATCATGTTACCATTTTACTGTATGTCCCGAGATTAATCCGCTGATATTACAGAGATGGTTTAAATTTCACCTGGCCTGCTTTTCTCTCCATATTGCACTCCAAGCCTCAAAAGGTCAGGGGTCACCTTCGTAATTATGTTAAAAACGGATAGCTGTTGGTCGCGGATGCACGACATAAACCTTTATCTCATACTCCCAGATGTTTTGTGTTGAAGCACAACAAGATTTCCTTTCACTAAATGAGTTCCCACTTTACTCTGTGTCATTTGTTGTGGCTCCATGCATTGCCTTAGTAACCAATACATATGAAATCACAGTGTGCCGCTTGTGCTGTGCAGAAGGATTTATGGCCTTGTGTTGTGTGTAATGGGAGCTGGCTGTCGTATGTGAGTGACTTTAGCTCGCCACCTCTGTGCTCTGACCTAAACATTGCTGTCCTGTTCTATTGTCTGAACTGCTAAAAGTCTTTTAAAAAAAGAAGAAAAGTCTCCCACACTGACAGAGTCAGGAGCCAACTGGAGGATTTCACCTCAGGAAACAGCCAGTTTTTTTGTCTCAGTTTTCCTTGCCTTTATTTGGGATATTTTATAGCCCGTGTAATCCGATCCCACCACATGGGTATTCGCTGAGCGTTTGAAACTAAAACGCAATGGGACAGAGGGAGTACAGAACCCTGGTTTGGCCCTTACGTGTGTGCGTGTGCATGTGTGTGTGTGTCTGTTTGTGTTTAATGTGTGTGTTTGAATGAAAGCCTGTGTAAGTGTGTGTAAGAGAGGAAAAAAAGGCCAGATGTTCTTAGTTTGATTGTGCCCCGTGCAACAGTTATCTGAGTGTTGACATGACTAAAAGGTTCATTCTCAGTGTTTATATAGAAAGGGCAGATTAAGGAATGAGTGTCCAGGGTTGCAGAGGTTGATATAACATATGGTGTAAATGGAAATTGCACAGAATAAAATATATGATATCTCACAACTTACTTTGTCTCTCTTTCTCCCTTTCCTTCTTTCTGTTTCTTGTTTTTTTGTACTCCTACCCTGTCTATCTAATAAACAGACTCCCTGTTTAGCACTGTACGGCAGTGCTAGATTCAGTGCCATGCCCTCTTGTGGACAACACCAGTGCTAACACCCTCTAGCCTGTCCCTCAGCCTGTTGGCCCACCAGAGTGTTGCTCTGCCTGCAGACCAGCAGGGTGCCAACCCAGGAAGAAGTCCAGATGGCCAAGTCATCACAAGCCAACATGGGGGAAGAACACAACACAGTCACACATTTTGTCTTGGACCAAAAGGCTGTCGCTGGCTCGTGTGTGTTACATTGTGTTCAGCAAGCGCTTTAAAAGGAGCATCTCAGATCTTCTTCCTGTCTGACATTGCCCTAAAGTGTGTATGCGCGCATGAGTCAGTGTGGCAGCCCAGATGAGCTGCTCCTCCTCCTCCTCCTCCCCTCCCTGCTCCGCACAGCAGACAGGGCTCCGATCAGCCTTGTGTGGTCTTCTCAGATGGAGCCTGAACATGATCTCTTTCCAGGGGAAACGGTTTGTTTTCTCTGCCCGGCTTGCACAAAGAGCTGCATTGTTCCTCTCCCCATATCCCACGCTGACTCCCCACTCCAGGTTTTGGGTTACCTGGCCGACGGGGGCTCAGACTTCATCAGTTTTTTTATTTTTTTGACCGACAGCCAGGAATATAGTATACCCTTCTCTCCTCCACCTTTCCGCCCAATCTAAATACGGTACGCACCAGTTCTGAGGTTTTATCCCTCACAAGTGATTGCCTGTGATTCCCTACTCAGCTCACTTCCTCCAAGGGAAGAAAGACAGTCTGCTGACATTAAGACTTCATCCAGTTTACTCACTGACGAGAGTCCGGCTGGGCTGTTGAGACAGATGATGGAGCAGCCTAACAACCCAGGGGAGAGTCTCCTCCCCCTCCTCTTAAACAATGTAAACTTAAACTGAATATATGAGGGTACACCTACTGATACATAGTAGCTGAGATGGTCTGTGAACACTTTAGACGTCTTGATGACGCTGGTACATGAATGTGTAACGTACAGATCCTCATTCAATATTCACCTGATCTACCAAGTCTCTCATAGCAAATCAGAGTTTGAATCACTTTCAGCACCGAATGCCATGCATGTTTCGTCCCTGCCATTCATGAATGAATGATCCTAATTCTGATTTTCTTGTGGATGATGCTGGTTTTGATCAGCCGTTTCTGAAAAGGAAAGCAACCTTGTAATATTACCAAATGTGGTATTATACCCAAAGGCATCAAATGCTGTAGTATGCAGCGATCAGTATTACAGTTCCCGCTATCAGGGATACCTATTGAGATTTGATCCAGCTAGATCACTTAGCAGCTTGTCAACACTTGTTCCTTTGCAAGATTTCAGTTTTGTAGTCGACACAGATACTATTTGATGTTATATTAACTTATGGATGAAGCATCTGTAGATTTTCACAAAAATGCTTTATTTCTTCTTTTTTTGTTTGTTTGTTTTGTTCTTTTTCTTTGATGATTTTCATTTTATGAGTGCCTGAACTCTCAAACGCCTCTTGTCCATATGTTAATATGCTGTAGCCCCACTAGAGGGCATTGTTTGCCTTTGTAACTTTGCACCTGAGCAGAAAGAACCAGGAGGCCATAAGACAGTCTGCTGAAACCCAATGCAATCTCTGCAAACAGCTGCACTCAGTGCCATCAGACTGATATGACTGATAAGCCAAGCAGACGGCTTTTCCTTTACATCTCGCCATTATTTTATCTTTAAATTCAAATATTGCCATTTGCCACACTCACAGCAGTGTCAAACCAAGGGTACAGTCAGCTGCATTTCAACGCCTTTTAGTGAACAGTTCAGCACTCCCCTGAGTTAAACTAAGCAGTCCCTTTGACCTGCTTGATGCTAGAATACCGCAGATGTGGCCCACCCCAGCCATCATTCCAAAATCACTTACCTATCCGTTTGTGGGCATGCGTGTGTGCATGCACGGATATGTGGCAACACATTACACCGTCTCCTCACTCATTCCAGCCCACTTCCCCCACCACAGATCATGCCTTTAAGTCAGTGTCATTCTTGGCTGGTAAGGGGACTTTCTCATCGGCTTGTATGGCGCAGTGATGACATCACTTCATACAAATAGCTGCAGTGTCAACAGGAGATCTCCGACTCTGACGGCAGAGGCCAAAAAGTAAACAATTCAAACTGCCATCATTAGTTTCACCATGTTTAATCAATGCCTTTCCTCACCTCACCCAGTATCTGTGTCACCTCAGAGTTTTGACAGAAAACCCGTTTTACCAGAAGTTTGGTTGCTTCTTGCTTCACCCAGAGGTACTTTCTGACCTTCCCTGTCAAAGTCACTATCTGACAAAATGTTTGTATTCAAATAAAGATTAAATAAGAGCATTGGTGAAGACCTCTTTGTAAAGTGAAATAAATAAAAGTTATTCTAAGATCAAAGAAACTTCTGCTGTTTTTTTTTAATTTATTAAGTTTTTATTTTAAAAAATGTTGGGTTTTTTTTTCTTTTCTTTTTTTGTGAGGTATGTTGGTTTTGTAATCGTCATACAGCTTTATAAACCGCCTGCTAACAGGTTCTGGTCAGTAAATGCCTATTTTTAGTGGAAGCCTTTCTGATAGGCAACGCATCAACATTCCAGAAATAGTGGAAGTCGACCATCTTTGCAGTGACGGTAAATCAGATGAATGAGATAAGAGAGCAGGAATTCCGGCTTTGTGTGGACCTACTGGGAGCCGTGACTGGACGATTCTGGGAGGGCAGCTTTTGGGGGTGGGGGTAACTTCCAGGTTTTCAAGTTAGGGATTGAAACTGCAGGACGGAAGTTTTCCACAATAATAACAGGGCAGGGGATATGTGCGGGACTTGCTTGCAGGAAGTCACCCACAATTAGACAGCACAAACCGGATGTAAAAACTATCCTATAAAATAAAGGCATTAAACAACCGAAAAAAAACCCGCTAGAAAATAATAATGATCATCATCATCACCATCATCATTATTTTTATTATTATTATTAGTGATATTAGTAGTAGTAGTATTACTACTACTATATTATACTATATTATTATACATATAATAGTATTACTATTATATGTGGATTGCACAACACTGGACATTATATTTCTTTATTTCCAGTTAATACTTGTACAGCTGCTGTTATTGTGTATATATTTATTTATATTTATTCATACATTCTTATATAGTTCTATATTGTGTATTTTGTTGTACAGTTATTTTATTTTCAACTTTAATTTATATATTTTATTTTATTCTTTCCCAGTTAAATTTACCCTTCATTCTAATTTGTGTTGTACAGTTATTTCATTTTTAACCTTAATTTATATTTTATTCCTTCCTAGTTAAATTTACCCTTTTTAATTTTTCACATTTATTTCCCATCTTATTCATAGCCTTTTCCTTTTTTTGTTTTCTTTAGGTCACGAGCAGTTGTCCAAGCATTTCACTACATATCGTACTGTGTATGACTGTGTACGTGACAAATAAAATTTGAATTTGAATTTGAATTTGAATTAACTTTATTCAATCAAGTTAAAATGATATTAATAGAAATGTTATAGAAACGTTTCTAAATGACCTTGAGAGGTTATTTAGGTTATTTATGAAAGATGATTTATCATTCACTTGTTTTACTGTCCATATGTATGGACAAAAAAGATTTGCAAGGTTTGGAAAAAGAAAATTTCATAATGATTGATATCTTCCCAGATTTTTATAATTTATTTAGTCTTATTTAAGTCTTCGCCTTAAGGTTTACGCAGCTTCTCACGACTTTTATGTTGACAGTTGCAACCGGAAGTCAAACTTGTGTTCTCCTTGCTTGACTAATCTTTTTTACAGGTTGAGCATGTTGGGTCGACTGATTTAGTTTTACCTGCCTGCCTGATAGCAAGACGACACTTATCTGAAAGTGAAGTTTACCTCGACACACCCGCTTGGTTTTCACCTGCGTGTGTGTCTGTGTGACCACTAATGAAAACTGGGCGAGACGGTTTGTTTGGGCCTTGGATAAATAATTAACCAGACAACTCAAGCCGCAGTTTCAAGAGCTGACATGAGGAGTTGACGCAAAGCAAGAGCGGAGTGCGCCTCTATCGCCAGCCTGTTACCTGAGCGAAAACAACAGGCTCGCAGGTGTTTTTGTTTGTTTGTTTTAAAATTTTCTTTATATTTTTAATGCCATTTGAACTGGATACACTTCATTGTAATAATGCTGGGAGCGGAGAGCAGATTGGAAAGCCGGCTGAAGAAGCTGGAGTCCCTGATAAGGAATCCACAGTCGGCACTAAACTTGGCAACCCTGCTGGTGAGTTTACATTCACCCTGAAGCTCTAATACAAGTATGGTCTTCAGACTGAGAGATAGGGAGTGAGTTAGACACATATTTGTGAGTAATTAGCCTGTCAGTCATCTGAGAAAAAAGTTTTTAGAGGAAGGTCTTACAGTAAAAACAATTAAAAAAACAAACAAACAAAAAAAAAACACAACCGAAAGCTGAAAAAGTGAAATTGTTGACCTGTAGCCTTAATCACGCAGAAAATGATAAGAACTAAGGTTAAGCTAATCATACTCCTTTGGCCTTTGTAGCAGAGGGAAGCCCCACCTTTCCTGTATGGAATGCCATACACTCCTCCCTAAACAGAATTATTCAATGGAAAATGCTGCATAGTAATAATTAGATGTGATAGTTTTCCAACTCACTGAAGCTGGAAGTCATTCAAATGAGTGAAGGAAGTTCCAATAAAACTTACAATCTGATCAGCTATGAACTACATTCACTCCTCCCTTTCCCTCACTCAGTCATTGCCTGTCTGGGATTACCTGTTCAGGGGTCTGGTGTGGTGGCCTGCACTGAGAACATATTCAGCTCAGCTGCTCACACTCCTCAAGCCTCAATCTTTGAGAATAAATTCAGGATCTCACAGCAGGCTGTCTGTAGTTTTCCATTTCTATGTAGTGCTGATCTGCAGATTTAAAATAGGTTTAATATTTTCATCTTGACAACCCAGAGTTAGCTTTGAGAACATGTCTAGCCTGGATCAACTTTTGTAAGCTATTTGCAGTAACACTTTGACTCAGCAAAAAGCCAGTAGAGTCTGTTTACTGTTTAAGTTATTCATTTGCTTCACACACATTTGATATTGACAGAACACCATAATCCACGGCTTATATTCATAGTCTTTTAGTGACATTTGGAGCATTAAAACATATAAATCATGCTGAGGGATTTATATATTTTTTTAAATCTGTCCAAACAAATGTGACAGTTTACCAGATTTCATGCCGTATGCACCTGCTGCCTAAACAAAGCAGCCCTTTGGTCCATGTCTATTCCCAGTGCTGAATCATGATCCAAAAGTACAATCTCCCTCAGATGTACAACAACAGACCCAGGTTACATCACTCTGTGACATAATCAGGCCAAAAAAAATGATGAGAATTAATTTCAGTCAGTCATCACTCCAAAGTTCACTAGTAGTCATGTTTGATTTTTATCACTGTGCTCCATGGCCATCATGCTGCTTAAAATGCAGGGAGCTACCACAGGAAGCTGAAGTCACTTCCTGGAATTAACCTGCTGTGCCCTCATGTCACCATTTCCTGTTTGTCCACTGTTATTTTTCGTATATATACGTTGTTGTTTTTTTTCTTTTCTTTAGTACAATACAAATTTAGACTTCTAATAGAATAACCTGTTGTCTTTTATTTTTGTGTTAATGCTTTTGCTGGGTTATTGATGGCCAGTAAAGGAAAAACTAAACCCCAGAGAAAAGGTTTGAATGTTTGAGGTCTATGGAATGCTTTGAAATCCTAATGAGTTCACAGTAACTGAACAAAATAATGTGGTTGAGTCGCAGATCATTATAATCGAGAACGATGCACTTCAGTCGGTAAATTAATGTTAGCTGTTGCGCAGTGTCATGGCATTCTGTGTCAATTAACTGAGCAATTAATTGTGCAAGGATAAGGATTTAAGACATGAGAATATTTTTGACAAACGAGTATAAATGGATAAATAAATCATGTATAATTAGTCCAGTCAGCTTCACCTGGGCACCATATTTATCACAGAAGTATCACAAACAATAAAACTTAAAGAGGACTCGTTACTGTTTTTTTTTTTTGTTTTTTTTTCTGTCACTATATCAATAGTGGATGGTCATATTATAATATATATATAAGCAATGTTTCAGACTGCTCTACACACTCCGTTCTAGACTGTTTATTTCCATTTATTAGATCTATTGGTTCCTGTCAGAGAGAGCTGATATCCCTAGTATGGTCATCTCAGATACATTATGCTCCCTCTGGCTGGTAGTGCATGAACCCTTCCCATGTGCTGCTAAAGCCTTCTGTTTGTGAGGCTGCAGCCAATCAGAAAAAAGTCATCTCGAAGGAAAAGGAGCTAAACAGGTCGATTTAGACAGGATGAACTAATGGGCTATAACAAGGTTTAGTATAGAGTGAATAAGGGTTATTTTTAACCATGAATCATGCAGAGTGAATTGTAGTGCTGTTCAAAGCTAAAAGTTTGGTCCCCTTTAAAGAGCCCATCGGGGACTGCAAAAAATAATAATTGCAAATCAGCTACTAAATATACAAAGCATAAACAGGATTGTCTTGTATGTTTTGGAAACGTCTATTGAAACGAGTGCCACAAAGTTCCTGCCAGATGTTCAAACCAGAGGAGTTTCTGAACCCTGCAGTTATTGACCTTTATGTAGTTTTGCTTTATGCGCTCGACCGCCCTGTTCAACTCTGTTTACTTCCTCGCCGAGTTGTTGTGGTCCTCGATACCATACTTCCGCTTTGCGATAATACCACTTACAGCTAAACACAAACAGATCTAGTAGGACAATGGCATCCCATTACAGTACCATGCTCAAATTCACTGGGCTGTTTAGAACGATCCGTTCTTTCACAAATGTTTGTAAAGGTAGCCTGCATGGCTAGGTGCTCGATTTTATACACCTGTGGTAATGGGACGGAAACACCTGAATTCAAATGTGAAGAGGCGTGGCCCTAGACTTTTGCCCATATAATGCATCATTGGTCCATTTATGGCACAATTGTGGAAGCCATAAACACAATTTTTAGTTTCTCATCGGCATATTTACATATCACATACTTATTTTTATAACATATTCACTGAATATTCCAGTAAATGTGCTTTTTTTGTTTACTCTCTTAACCATGAAATGACTGATAGTGTTTGTAGTGATGGAATCAGACCTACGTGACAGCTCCCTAGTAAAGATTTAAAAACGTGTATGGATCAGACACCCTGTATATAAGAACAAAAAACCCTTAAATCTGGGATCAGTAGAACAGTTGAAGGCATGTCTGTTTTGTGTCTGGTGGAGGCTGGATCTGGATGGGCCGAGTACATTTTGATGCATCCTGAGCAACTTGATTAAGCCATTGTTGACGCTTGACTATGTTGACAGTATCAGCTCACACTGAAGTGGGTGGAAGGTGCTCTCTCAGGAGGCGAGAACAAGCCATGAAGACTAAACTAGAGAATCATGTTCAGATTTGTCGAGATTCCAGTGAAAGACAAACATGCTGGGTCTAATCATTTTCGCCTTTTACTGGTCTGAGACTAAAATAAGAGGGGAAGCATTTAAATCTTAACCCCTTTACGTCACTTTACATCACACAGAGTGATTTTCTAGAATTAAACAGCGTAGGATAACAAAAACACTCAGTGATCAAATGTCTAATTTGATGTTATCTAAATTGATGTCTAACAGGATAACACAATGACGTGATGGCTTTTTATATCCAAACGAATTTGGTCTGATACCTAAATGGGTTACACCAGTCTTTGGCGTCCATTGTTTTCTTTAGGAAAAACCCAGTTGAAAATAAGGTGTTAAAATATGTTGTTATGCTTAGCTGCTTTAGCTTGGGGATCCACTGCCTTGCACAATTACAGTTCTCCTTAAATGGAATGCAACCAGCATGTTTTCATGTTTCCATTTTCATGTTTCCATATGAATGTATTGATATGTAATTGGGATTTATTTATTTATTTTTAACCTGAAGCTGTATGCTTAATGCATCAAGGTGTGATGGACCTTGGTTCCCACTTTAATCTTGTTTTAACTTGTATACCCTGATCACAGCTATATAAATCCCTTCGTGAATCTTTTTATTGTATGCCTTTTGTATCAGAAACAAAAGCAGTGGCAAAAGATGCAGGAACTCACTTAAAATTTATTTTAGAAAACAGGACTCGGATACCAAGCTGCAAAAACCTGAACAAGTCCTTCATGATTTTAGTCACACATTGCAACAAACTACAGGCGCACCCTGTTTGAAACTGCTAACATTAGACTGTATTTGCATATTACCATCACTGAAACTCTTTAAAACAAAGTTCCCATAGTGCTGCGATAACGACGACCGTTACACCAGTTGATCTTTTGTAAAATGATCACCTATCCTCGAGCTCTCAGCCTGAATCCAGGTCCATAAGCTGTTCGTCCCACAATAGCTTCTGAGCCTTTAGGTCTATTTCCACCCATGTGTGGTGGGGGAGATCGCTCCTCGCCGCTGCTATTTAAAGGTGCAGAATTGTTCCACATGCCCCTTTCCACTCACTCATATGTCCTAGAACAAACAGACAACCAGATACAGCCCCTACACTCGCTGACATGCTGGATGACTCAACACGACCCCTGTTTTTTAGGGAACAGAGATCATAGCACACTCTGACCTACCCCGCCTCACCGCCCCACGCACACACCCACACCCTACCCCCACCCAGCTCTGCCCTGCCATCCTGATGCATGTGGATCACAGGCACATTTTGGTTCAACTTGAAACACAACACCCCCGATTTAAGCACTGATGACACTGCTGAGGCTCCAGCTTTAACTCTGACAGTGCCACAGCTTTACTGGAGCTGGTGTCGGTGGGCCTGATGGCGGGTCTGTGTGTTTATGGAAGCGACCGAAACATGAACACGTGTCTAATTTTATTTGTTGTTGCACGACATGTTTTGTCTCCTTGTCCAGCCTCCATTGTTCTTTTGTGTTTGTTTTGGTTTAGCGGTCTGATTTTGTTTCCCCACTTGTTTACATTTTGGAGTGTTCTTACCGCCATCTTTACTTCATTAAAGATGTTTGCTTTTATTAGCCAGCACAATGTCGGAGCTTCCCGACTTTTATGAATTGTCTTGACAATATAATGATAAAGAAATTATTTAAATTTCATTAATTTTCTGTGAATCTTCAGCTCAACTTAAGGAATATTCCCATTTTTTAATGATACTGGTGTTTCCACTGTACACTGACATTGATTTTTTTTTTTTTTGTTGTTGTTAATTAACCACTATTTCTAAATGTTAATTTTCATTTCTAATAAAAACTTCTTCTCTTTCTTGTCCTTCAGGATTCCATGAATGCACTGGTCAATGACTTGAATTACCCCCCCTTACGGAAAAACAAAAACATAGAGTCCTTTCTGAACCGATGTAAGTTCTCGTGTGGGTTTTGCATTTGTGTGATGAAAACCATGACTTTTTAGATTGTGCAAGACTTTCCCTGTTGTCCAGCATCAGATTTGGGATATAACATGTGCACTGTTTCTTTAAGAAGGTAAAAAGAGAGGTATATGAAAGATTTCCCTGGTGTTGCTATTCAAATTAACATTTTTGGGGAGATTAACAGATTTTTCCTGCCAAAACCTTAGTAATTGATATGTGGTCTTGTTGCATAGCCTTGTCCCCCCCCCCAATAAGTCACATTCAACCTAGAAAACCTGGCAGAATGTGGTGACTATAGCTAAATGTGACATTTCATTTCTTAAAAATCTACTTTTATGTTAATTTGTTCAACATGTATAACATGTTTTCTCCAAAACTACTGCAGTAGATTTCATTAGACTGGGAAAGTATTAGGTAAAATCAGCTTTATCTTTGTCTAATCTCGTGTATGTGTCTCATCTGCAGATAAAGACTTAGTGAGTGAGCTGCGAGAACTTCAGATGAAGCTTGATGACTTTGAGAAAGTCAAGCTGATCGGAAAAGGAGCTTATGGACAAGTGCAGCTGGTGAGTTCAAGGGATCAATAAGAGGTTGTCTGTTGACTTGCGCTATTTAATTTTAAACTGCGTTCTGTGGAAGAGCAAAGCAGTGTGATATAAAGTTAGAATTTCTCCAGTTGTTCCTAAATCCAGCAGCTACCAGAAATATTTGAACCACTAGAGGGAGCAACAGTCTTTAAAAATACCAAATGTGTGATTTTTTTTTTTTTTTTTTATAACTTGATTTTTGATTTTATTTTAAATTGCCAACGTGCCTGACTCCAAGTTTAAGCCAATCAGTACATTTCTTACTCTCCCTAACTTTCAGTTTCCCATATATCTGCATCTTATGCTGGTAGAATCTGGTATCTGCTGAGTCTCTTGGGTGGAAACAAGCCTGGACAGGCTCAGTGTGTGAGAGATGTCTGGTGTGGGGGTGTGGATGGGGGACATGGTATGTTTGTGTTTGAAATCTTGTGTAAACATGTCTTTCTATGGGTGTGTCCTACAATTATGGCTTCCCATCTCTGTGTCTGTTTCTCTTCATCTCCTGCGTTATCTTAGTCACTGTGACCTTCTTACCATCTTGTCCATATTGTCCTTGTTGACATATCACTATTTACATTCTCACATCTCTCCTTTTTTGTCACGTCCTCCCCTGCAGGTCCGTCACAAGGCCTCTAAGAAGGTTTATGCCATGAAGCAGCTCAGCAAGTTTGAGATGATCAAAAGGTCAGATTCGGCCTTCTTCTGGGAGGAGAGACACATCATGGCCTTCTCCAACAGCCCCTGGGTCGTCCAGGTGTGTTTTTTGTTTTTTTTCTACAAATATTCATAAGATGTAGCACTGGAGAACATATAGAACAGAAGTTTTAACTCCTTTCAGCCACAGAGGTTTTCATAGATATATTTTGTTCACAGTAGAAGACAGAAAACACACCAAATGTTTAAACTGAAATGTTTTGGCGTTTCATGAAAAACAGTAGCCCATTTTGAATGGCAGTAACACATCTCAAAAAAAGTTGTGAGAGGGCAGCAAAAGGCTGGGAAATTAAGTGATGCTGAAAAGAAACGGTGTGCAGCTAATTAGTTTAATTAACAACGGCTCAATAACATGATAAAAAGAACCGAGTTTCTCTGAAAGATGGACAAAAGTTCACCAATCTACAAAAACATACTGCATCTACCAACTGTGCAACAATTTTAGGATAACGTTTCTCAATGAAAAAATTGTGAATACTTTAAATATGTTATCAGGATTTATATTTATAGCGTATCTGGAGAAATCTCTGTGCACGAGAGAGAAAGCTGCAGACCTGTAATTGATGGCCGTGATCTTCAGGCCTTCGGACTACATTGCATTAAAAACTGGCCTCATTCGGTCATGGAAATAAGTACATGGATGCAGGAACACCTTCAGAAATCACTGACTGTGAACACAGTTCGCTGTGCCATTCATAAATGCCGGTTAAAGCTCTAGCTTTAACCGGCATTTATTGAAGCATTCTGTATGGTAAATACACTACAATAATAAACATAAAGCCATTTAAAATGGTCCGTTACAGGCCCATAGCCCGTTTTTGGCTTATTCTCAACCGATCCCTGGCTTGATGTCAGGATAATGAGCTCCTCCATGTGACGTAGTCAATACAGCGCTGACTGGTAACACCCCTACGCAGCATGTGGGAAAACCGGTCATACTGTTTTGTGTCTCTACTTAGTGATGCTGCAATAAAGGAAGTTCACACATTTACAGCGTGCTATATTTATGCATTTTAAAACTGGTATCATAGAATCATAATGCTGAAACTTTCTGTAGAACATTGTTATAGGTTGATATTGATATATATTTTTTGTGCGTGTCAAATATAAACTAGGTTGTTACTGGTTGTTTCTGTAGATGGTAATCAAATAATTACATCCGCGCACCACCAAGCTCTAAAACATTTAATAATTTATTTGGAATTATTGTTATTGCATGCACTAGGTACTGATAGTAGGTACAGATGGCAAGCACTTTGTCAAAACAAGCGGTGTAATCAGATGGTCCGAGTGTTTAGAGATGGCATATGGAGATTATATTAAAATAAATGAACAGTAAAACAGTTGGGTAGGGATGCAAGAATATTTTTATGATAAGAAAATGAAACGAATGATTTGTGGAATAGACCAATAGAACCAATATATAGTAAGAGTCTTGTTATATCGGATGAGGTAAAAGCAGACAGCGTGCTTGTTAAATGAGATCCAATTTAATGCTGCCTTAAAGACCCGGAGATAAAACATTCATCATGAGTAATCAAATAATATATTAAGACAGCACAGATGATATTTATGTTTACATTGCAAAGCAGTACCTTCTGTTTATACACCTCAGTAATAACCTGGCACCATATCAGCATTAAGTTTGAGATAAAAAAGTAATCAATGATATTGTAATTACTCGTTACTGTTTCGTAGCTATGCTGTGCTTTCCAAGATGATCGGCACCTTTATATGGTGATGGAATTCATGCCCGGAGGAGACCTGGTCACACTCACCATGAACTACGACATCCCTGAGAAATGGGCTCGCTTCTACACGGCAGAAGTAGTGCTGGGGCTAGACGCCATCCACTCGATGGGCTTCATCCACCGCGACATTAAGCCTGACAACATGCTGCTGGACCAACACGGACACCTCAAACTGGCTGACTTTGGCACATGCATGAAGATGGACTCGGTATGTCGAGTTTCTAGTTGTGTCACAAACCTTCTGAGTTAGTTGAAAGAAGAGGAAAATGCCATTTTGATTATTCAGAGCTTCAGTGCACCACCAGGTGTTCAGATGGTGAAGTGAAGCTCTTACATCATGTTGTTTTGAAAGGCCACAGAAGTTATGTGCTAAACAACTAGTCTCGAGTGAGGCGGCAGTCCCGCCTCTGCTGCTGTGGGACAGGAAGTGTTTTTCATCCTTTTGTTTTCACCACAGCAATTTCAAAATAGCTCATTTCACTCATTTGAGCTCTCTGAATATCTGCCAGTAGACAGAGCATGTCATGCAATTCCTTCCCTAGTCTCAGTCTGGTAAAGAAACTTGAAATGGTCTTAAAACACATTTTGTTTGTGGTCCACATGGTAAAGATTTTTTTAAAGAATTTTTTGCATAGTTTTTGTCCCAACATCTAAAGATTTTGAAAGAAAATATAGTAAAACAATTTTAAGCTAGTTTTACAAGCTCATTGATCCACACTATGATTTTGCTTTTGCTTTTTTTTAAAACTTTTTTTCTGCTTTCTGTCCAAAGTCCTTTCCAATCTTTTATTATTGCTTTCCTGTGTGTTATGTTGTAAATTCATCTTTCTGCAGACAGGTATGGTGAAATGTGACACAGCTGTAGGCACACCAGACTACATCTCCCCCGAGGTTCTCCAGTCTCAGGGGGGTGATGACTACTATGGCCGGGAGTGTGACTGGTGGTCTGTAGGAGTATTTCTCTTTGAATTGCTAGTTGGTAAGTTATGTACTGCTCATTCAGTTAAGCTTTTATTAAGAAAGCAAACATGATTTAATTCCCATTACATGTATAATTCAGCCCAGGCTGTTCTGACTGTAACCAGGTAATGAGAGGTCAACTCAACATTACGTTATGTTTTCTTGCTGTTTGGATATTATGTAACTTCCTTTATGTTAGTAATTATAAAAATGTAAGTTTTTGCTCAAGCTCTCGGATCTGTGTTTTGAGAATTTGACCTCTCATTCTTCTTCTAGGTGAAACTCCTTTCTATGCCGAGTCCCTTATCGGAACGTACGGAAAGATTATGAACCACCAGAACTCGCTCGTATTCCCAGATGATGTAGAGATGTCTCAAAATGCCAAAGATCTCATCTGTGCCTTCCTTACTGACAGGTTTGTATATGAAACCATAGATTATACTGTAAGCCCTTGTTTTTGTAATGTAACAAGAATTTGGTAGTAAAAAGGGAAAATACTATATTAAGGACTATTTCAAGCTTTTATATACAAATAATACTCGATAATTTGGGGCTTTTTTGGATATCTGTCCTTTAAAATAAATCCTGTCATTAATTAGCAGGCTGAAATGTTAGTAAAGCATAGAACTGATCAAATAGTGCATAGTACATATAACCTTGTTAACAAGGTTTATGAATTTACATTAGAGATAAATACAACACTGTAATAAAAAGCCTTTAAGCAATGAGGTGAACCATATGTCAGCAACACTAGCAAAAGCACAGGCGATTCTGAATGTAATGCAACGACCACCAAGAAGTCTGATTAGCACACAGTGTTTAGAGAAATAACCCCAACAATCGGACAATCCCCTATGAGGAAGCACTCGACGACAGTAGGAAGGAAGAACACAATTTGTCAGGAAGAATCCTCACAGAACCAAGTTCAGGGAGAAGCAGCTGTTTGCCGTGGCTGCCTGTGGGGTGAGCGGAAGACTAAGGAAAGCACTAAGTGATAAAAAACATAGACGTATATTTGCCTGCAAATACACATCATCGTGGTATTGTTCTTTGTTTCCTTGGATTGATCCTGCACTTTAGATTTCCTGCCGGACATATATTGTTAACCACAGGGATGTCTGCCCATGACTCACAAAGTAGCTGAGAGGCATGTCTAAGGAGCTTGGAAAGAAAAGCGTCTGGACTTCTTTAAGTTGCTTGAAGACTGATTAAGATACCTTACAAATTAGTTGTAAAGGTAAAAGTTGGATGAATGGGCATATGGGTCATGTTTCCGAATAGTGTCCCCTCCCCCTTGAAGAAACCACTTCCTGTTTACATTAGTAACTCTGCCCACGACAGGGCTCGAACACAGGCCCTTTCTGCTTCAGTACAGAGCAGCCTTTCATTTTTCCTCACTCAGTTTATTTACCTTCTCACTCACTGCTCTCTCACCACAGACAGAATCTCGCATGTGTGTACGACTGACACACACACATCTTGAACACTGACTACTGACTGCATTCACCACTTAACCTACATGCTCCATCACTGTCTCCTCATTATGCTGAATCACATGAGTAAGCACAACCACCCTGCTCGTTTTGGTATTTTTCATCTCTCTTTTCTCACCATGTGTTTTTCATCGCTTCATTTGTAAATGTCTTCCTCCACCTTTTCTCTGTGCCACTTTCCATTTCTTGGTTCTCCCTTTTCGTCTGTAACTTTCTCCTTTGCAGTTTTCTGGGCATCGAGACATTGCTTGTAACCCTGATTTGGCTGCATGTCACTTTTTCATGCAGAGGTTTTAAAGTCGCTCCTTTTTTTTTTCCTCCCCACCTCTGCCCTCTCTTCCCCTTGGCTGGATCTGGAATGTCCCACACGTGGCAAGCCCAAACTGCCCCACCCCTCCAACCCTGTACCCAGAGGTGGAGGAGGGAGGCGAGGGGATGAGGCAAGAGGGAAAATGAGTGTGTGTATAGCTTCAGTGAGAGAGAGAGAGAAGAGAAGGAGGGAAGATCTAGGAGTTCTTGAGTCAGAATTGTTGATGTTCCTGCCTGGTATCCAGTCCTCCTGTCTTTACTGCTTGGAACTTGGACTGAAGAGGTTTTCAGGCGTATCCATTGTCCAACAGCGGTCTGGTGGCTCTCCATGCTGGTCAGTGTGGTCAGTGCAGAGTGGTCACGCCGCTAAGTTCCATGTGTTTGGGATGACATGTTTGTGATGGTGGGTGGAGAGGAGGAAAGGGGTGTGCTGTACTGCGTTGCACTGTGTCACACTTAGGCAAACCTGCTCACCGTCTGACTGCTTGTTCCTGTCGCTGTGTGCAGGAAGGTTCGTCTGGGCCGCACCGGAGTGGACGAGATAAAATGTCACCCCTTCTTTAAGAACAACCAGTGGACCTTTGACAACATCCGTGACAGTAAGTGTATCCATATACTTGTCTTTAAAACTTCTCTCTATATTATGCCACAATGCAGGAGCATCATACATTTCCATTTCTGGTAATGTGCAAATGTTTTTCTTTTTCACGGTTTGTTGCCGTTCCCATTGTTTTGCTTCTCTTATCATCTCCAGCCCATTCCTCTGCAGTTCTGTTTTGCTTCAGTCTGAGTTCGAATTTTATTTCCAGCTCTTGAGTCATTAAGCCTACTTGTATGGTACACATGCTCTCCATATGCTCGCCATTCATATCTGACAGTATATGACAGGGTGCTTTGCAGAGCAGGAGAGAACATTATGCAGAATAATCAGCTACATATGGGAACCAGTCTAAAATCATAAATTGGTGAGTGTACTGAACATATTGAAGTCCTGCACCACGTGTGACTGGATAAAAGGAACACTATATTGTAGCTTAAGGTGATAGATAGATAGATAGATAGATAGATAGATAGATAGATAGATAGATAGATAATATAACAGAATTATTTACTCACAGGTGTATTAGGAAAAGAATAAAGAGAAAAAATCTTAGCTATTTAATACTATAATTGTTAAATCAGTACCAATGTTTGTACTTTAGTATATTTTTTCTTTTCTTTTTTTTAAATTTAGGTTTAGACTGTTTGTATCAGGAAGGACAAAAGAAACAAGAAGGAGAAAAAAATAAGAAAGGGATATATTAGAAGTATGAGCTGGACCTCTGTGTCTGTACATAAGTACATTCAGACTCTTTTTCGTTGCCTCGCCCTGTCTCAGCCTCACCTGGCTCCGATTAAGGCAGAACTTCTGATCACAGCCTGGCAATCTGGAACACGAAACCATTGCTCTGCTGCTCGCCTCTCTTCATGTTTGCATGTGCATGCTCATGCAACCACTCCAAACACGACCTTGCTTCCATTGTGAAGTCCCGCTGAGCTGCACATCCCTCTCGGCCCTCTGTGTCTAAGGGTGATATTACTTCCCGCAGCGTCTGGGCCCTGATTTCAGCGCTTTATCATTTGAGTTGTCTTCATGTTTATTAAGCACAGGGTTGAAGGCAACGAAACCAGCACCACGGGTCGTTGGATGGATGCTTGGCAGGATGAATGAATGAATGGATGGATGGATGCGACTGGAGGCAGCACCCCCCTTAGCGGCGGGTGGGGCAGGCTGTGCGGCCTGTGTGGACCGGTCTAATGAGAGGGGCGTCCCAGTTTGGAGGGTTGCTCCCGCTCTCTCACTCTCTCTGTGGCCGTGGCTGCCTGTCATTAGTCACCCGCTATCAGAGAGCATTCTGGGAAGTTATGCCACAAGGGCCTCCATTGAGCGCCCTGAGTCTCTTTCTGTCTCACCACATTTTGGCTTTTTTTTTTTCTATCTCTTCTTTTTATTTCCCCCTCATTTGTTTCATCCCTGCGCTTGATTTCTCTCTGTGTTTTCTGCACCATCTTTGAGTCACATTTGTCACACTGGGGGCTGTCTTGACCCGCAGTAATAAGCTCTTTACTCAGAGCCAGAACTGCGCTGGTCTGAAGAACTTCATCCAAAATCGCTGCTTTTTTTTTTTTCTTCTAATTAGGATCTATTTTTAGGCTCGAGGGCTTGCTTAGTTTTATCTGATTGGCCCTTTAACACATCTTTGTCTGCAGACTTTTAGAGTCAGTCTTGTGAAAAGAGAGCGCAAAAGGAACCTTCTCTCTTGGCATGGCTTGTGAAAGGCGCTGTGTATGGGGCACAAAGCAAGCACTGTACGGGAAAAGGAGTGGTGTCAGGCTCACGCCAACCTGCAGACTCCTAAAGTAACCAAAGCCAAAATGGACATGCATTTATTCAAATTGCTGAAAAAAAAATTTGTACTCAAATGTCTTTGATGTATTTTAATTTTAAATCCTCAAGCACAGGATTGTTTTCAGTCTGATTTTATGTAAAACAGCAGTTTTCTCTTTGCTTTAACCCTCCTGGTTTGCACCTCCTTCGTTTCCCTTTTTCGCTTCATGACTCTTTCCCTCTCTTCCTGTCTTCCAGCTGTGGCCCCAGTTGTGCCAGAGCTGAAAGGTGACATAGACACCAGTAACTTCGATGACATAGAGGTTGAGAAAGGAGATGTTGAGACCTTTCCTCCACCCAAAGCCTTTGTTGGCAACCAGCTACCATTTATTGGTTTCACCTACTTCAAGGAGGATCAGTAAGTGTTTGAATCTCATATTTTTATTTTACTTTAACTCTGCTTTTGTTCTTAAGTATTTGATATGTTCATGTTTGGTTCCTTTTAGTTTTCCTTTCTTTTCTTTTTTATAAATTTCGATTTTTGTGCTACAAAGCTCAACGTGTGTAGATATTTTGCAACGGGCTTTTAGAACAACACTGTGCTTAAAATATGAGAGAAAAAGACAGCTTCACGCCCATGCCTCACCAGTCAGACACTGCAGGCCTGTTAAAACTCCACACTGCTGCCTTGTTCTGACAGCCTCTTTAACTGCCCTTGTCGCCTGTGATGAATCCTGCTTTGTAAACCCTGTTTTTGTTCAGCAAAAAATAGAATGAAACAACACTTGCAGGTTCAACCGCCGTTAAGGCAGCAATCACCCAAACAAAGCTATTGTGTTAAAAATGGAAGCGTTTATTGTTCAAGACATATTATCTGGATAAAATTCACTTTATAAATGGCTAAGGCAAGTTGGTTGTGAAGATCAAAAACGCCCACAGTTTTCTAATCGTCATACATGAAATGCTGTGCTCACAATCCGTTTCAATAGATTAATTTATACCCTTTAAAGATCTGCCATAATCACACAAAGTCAAGTCTCAATAAGCAAAGAATCAAAAACAAAATAGAAACTTCACAAAATAACTCAACTTCAAAAGATAAAGAAACAAACCTGTCTTTATCACAGCTGCTCATCCACGCTTCTGGACCTAGTCAGTTAGATGAGCTTCAGGTTACCTTTTCTGTACCCGTAGGTACATTTGGTCTTCTGTACATGAGTCATCTATGCTCACATGCACATTTTCAAAATAAACCCAGACAGCAGGTATGCTGAACGCGTTCTCCACCAGAATAAGATATCATTCTCTCTCTTTGCAACATCATTAGTGATCATTTTTCGTAGCGTTAACAACAGCTGAGCCAGTCATGTGCGTGGGAGACTGAGCCTTGAAATTTGTTCTGTGGTTAACCAGCCGGTGCCCCTTATCACCAGTCATTTTCCTGACCAACGTCGCTTCCATCTGGCTACACAACAGTGCAGCTATTCCCAAATACCACACGAGCTGCTTCTGCAGTAAAACAGCTCAATTAAATGGCTCATGTGTTACAATCAGTGTTGGTCAAGTTACTTGAAAATAGTAGTTATTAATTACTGATTACTTTTCCAAGAAAGTAATCCTATTACTTTACTGATTACGTGTTTTTAAAAGTAATTACTTTATTACTTAGCACGATACACAACCTGAAAACATTATAAAGCAGTAGACATTTCAGCCCAATTTTATTTTTTCTGCATAATCCATCATATAAATTGAATCAAATGAAAAAGTCCCTTATTAAAAATTGTTTGTTTAGTTTTAATCTTTTAACTTTATGCACATTGCATCAAGAAAAAATTAAATCTGAAGAAATTTGTTGAACATTTAAACCTATTTTCTACATATTCCTGCATATGTGTTCACACTTGCTCTTTCAACACGGCAAAAGACAAATAAAGTCAAAGATTCAATCTATTGTCACCTGTTTAGCAGGAGTGGGGCCGGTGGAGGTTTGTCCGGTGTCGCAGCGGTCATGTCAGTGGGGGGATCCGGGGGTTTCCCTGTGAATTTCACATTCCCGTGGCGGCTTGCTAGGTGCCTGCTCAGATTTAAAGTTTAATTTTTCTCTGTGGAAAAAAGTTTTCTTCCCACGCAGAGTGTACAGCGTACTCTAATGTTTTTGTCACTTTATACAGATTAAAACTCAAAGTAATGTCAGTACTTCCAAGCTTTCGTACTCTCTCCCGCACTCCATATTATCCATTGTTTATCTACACACGTCTGTTGCTGCCACAGACGTCGCACGTTCATACGTCATGAGACACTCTCACAAACAAAATCACGGTTTAGTAACGCAGTAACGCAGCGTGCTTACGGGAAAGTAGCAGTAATCGAATTACTTTTTTGCAATAACAATCCCTTACTTTAATCTTTACTTGAAAAAAGGAATTGGATAGCACATTACTGCCCATCTCTGGTTACATTTAACCGAGGGGAGCTGAAAAGGTTTGAGCAGTAATGCTGTAGACTTAATTGAAAGCTATTTGTAAGCAGTATAAAATGATCAGGCTAATTATAATTCTTACATATTTCCAGAAAGGTTACAACAGCGGATGAATCTGCTTGTTTAATTTAGCAAAGATTTTATGCTGGATGCCCTTTCTGACAAAACCAATTATCCAACCTCACGGCCGACACTAAGAGTACTCTAGCATGTGTCTCCTTCCGATCTTGATTTTTTTTTTCTCATGTAAAAGGTGAATGTGTTGTATGTGAGTGCGTACTCGTACCTTCAGTCTAATTGCGTATTAGTGTGTACCTTTTCTAAAATCACCCTTAATTTGTCTGTGTTGTTAAGCACAGGTATTTTTATTTTAAAAATTCACTCTGCAAAAACTGGTGTCGTAAAAAGGCTTTACATAGTTAAGTTGTTATTCAGCCCCTGTGGCCGAGTCACTCAATAATTCCCACCACTACAAGCCCACCGAGATGGTTAACAGTTGGCAAAAAGTGCGTGGGTTGGAAGATTTCTGCCAAGACACCAAAAAGATCTCAACACTTTATTGCTTTTTCCACTGTGTATGGTTTCAGGATTAGGCTTATAGGTATCACTGTAAGTGCTTTCTAAGCTCTCTAATGTCACGTAACAATGGACAAAAAATGTCTTTTAATGGATCTGGTTGGGACAAAATGTATCTCATGCTTGTGGAAATGTGGACCTGATGATGGTGTGTGATGCTGTCAGGGTTGGTAATATACCTGACGTTGACTCGGATACAAGCATTCATGGTTATTGACCGTCCATCTCTCGTTCTCAGGCTGCTAAAGGGAAGTAAAAGCAGTTCTGCAAAAGATTCAGAGGACTGTGAGGAAATCTCAGAGGACAAGGAGAATTGTTCAGACAATAAGAAAGAGGTAGTTTTCTGTTTTGTTTGTTTGGGGGGGAGAGGTGAAAATGAAAATCAAATAATGCTATTTTTGTATTCACTCATCTGTCAATTTGAGCAGCTGCAGAAAAAGGTTTCCCAACTGGAAGAGAAGCTCGACAATGAGATGCAGGCCAAAGATGAGCTGGAGCAAAAGTGCAGGTAAGATAAAACATATGATCCTGTTTGATAAGATAACCTTTATTAGTCCCACACGTTGGAAATTTGTTTTGTTACAGCAAAAAGTGGACAGTGCAAAGTTATATAGCAAAAATTAGCTATATGTTAATCAGTGTTCAGTCAGCTTATTAAATGTCTTGGTTAAAAGGTTTTTAAATTAGACATCACCAAAGGATAACTGGTTTCCCTGAAGAGTTTTTTTGTATATGGTGTGTCACTTCCTTCCAGATCTATAGAAGTGTTTTGTAAAACAGGAAGTGACATCCCATCCTCAAAGCTGCTTTTAGAAATCCCAATATTAGGAGACGTTAAAGGAAATCCAAAAGCGGCAGAGGAAAAAAAAAAAGCAAGAAGAATTTCAATGTATAAATACATTTTTGAAAAGACAATTTTTAACTAATTGTGAAAAATTGTAATCTTTTTTTCCACCACCCAGAAATGCTACCAACCGTTTAGACAAACTCGTCAAAGAATTAGACAAGGAGGTAAGAGCGGGTGCATTTCAACCATGTACCTGATGGGATAAAGAAGGTCAGAGTTTGTTTCCACTCGTACTGTGTGCGAATTCCTCTCTCATCAGATGAACAGCAGGCAGAAAGTCGAGGCCTCACTGAGGCAGCTGGAGAGAGAGAGAGCTCTGCTGCAGCACCAGAGTGCTGAGAATCTGCGCAAGGTGGAGATCGAAACTGACAGGAAACGCAGCCTGGAGAACGAGTGTGAGCACCTATGAACAAATGTAGAGTGCTGTGCAAAAGTCTTGAGCTGTCCTTCATTTCTTTACATTTTGCTTCAAAGGAGCTTCAAAGGAGGACTTCTTATTTTATTTAAAGTGATTTTGAGCAGTACTACAGAAGTTTTGAAGTTTTTGGTTTTTTTTTTTTTTTTGTTTTTTTTTTTTTTTTTTTTTTTTTTTTGCTCGTCTTCAGTCCAGTCCTTGTACCCGACCATTTGTTCATTTTGCTTTGTTTTCTCGTTTAAGCTACTTAACACTGTGAATCATCAGGCTTAAAGAACCAATCTTAAGTTGCCACTTTGTTACGAGCAGCCACAAAATCCAAAACGCATATGTTTTTCGTTTCTTTAGTTAAATCTATGAAAAATTCCAAATATAAAATGAATAAAATAATATTTCTGCACAAACAAAGTGCAAAGCAAAGAGCTTTTAACCAAAAACGTGATGCATCACAGCAACGAAAGGCAGCCAACATCCACAGAAGAATTTCTAATATCCTTCATAAGTCTTGAGAAATATTCCTGAAGACTACTTAAACTATAAGAAAGTTTGTCTAAGGGAGTTCAGGCTGCTTTGAGGAATAAAAGTCGTCACGCCGAGCACTGACTTTCAAGCTTGTTAGAAGTGTACAAACTGTACATGTTGCACCCATTTTCCTACTAAAATCTAAGGAGTTGCTCAAGATTATTGCACAGCACCATATCTAAACATCAGATGTATAACTTGTGAAATATCTTTCCATAATTTTGGTTGTCATTTGATTTTATATTCGACTCAGGCAAGTCAAATTGTGTATTTATATGTCAGGCTCAGAAATATTCATAGTTGTGGATTGACAGTATTATAATATCGTATGGATGGATGAAATTTTTTATACTACACTAACTAAAAATGACTTTGTTTTTACTCATCAGTGAACAACCTGAGGGACCAGCTAGAGGATCTGAGGAAGAAGAACCAGAATTCACACATCTCAAATGAGAAGAACATCCAGCTGCAAAAACAAGTGAGGGAAGCTTTTTAAAGTCACCTAACATGGTGTTGTCTTTCTCTTATTTTCAATTTTCCGTATCACTGCACTTTTTTTTTTCTTCTGTGTTTAATATGTGTTTTTATTCATGTTAATAAAAACATACCAAATTGGTAATCCCTAATTCTGAATGCCTTCACCCTAAAAACAATTTCATCTTCTCGTTATTTATTTTCCTTCCCTTAATATCCGTAGCTTGAGGACGTCAATGCTGTGCTTCAGGCTGAGCAAGAGGCTGTAGCGCGGTTAAAGAAGAGTCAGGCGGAGGTGCAGAAACAAGCCCAGAGCCTGGAGGTTAGCCTCGGGGAGATGCAGGAAAAGTGCAGCCAGCTTGAAAACAGCAAGATGGAGCTGGAGAAGCAGCTGAGGGGGCTGCAGGCCGAACTGGAGGAGGAGAGGAGAGGCCGCAACATGGGGACAGAAACTATTAATGACCTACAGGGTGAGACGTGGCTCTCTATTACACTCTGACAGCAAGAGGTATTAACATAGTCGTAAACAGATTTAAAGGTTATGTGAGTTCTGTTTGGACTCTCTTGTTGGTAGCCAGTTGTAGGTAAACTACAGCCTTCATTAGCAATGTTCAGAAGTAAAATTATGTTAAGCTATAGTTAATCTTTTTTCAGCAGTTACCTCATCATCAAGCTTTGATTTGTTTTGTCAGATAGTTAAAGGTCATCGAATGAATACCTCTGCAGTGAAATACTGATTTACTCACCCTAACCACAGGTAATCAGTGTGATCTTTATACTCCCTAAAAGTGGCTGCAGTAAACAGAGCAGGAAAAAAAGATGTTATGCAAGTTGGAGTTGAAGGCTCAACATTAGATGTGAATCACTTTTCTGGATCGGGCACTGGGAAATGTCTGATCATAGGTGGAAACATCTGCTCAGAAGCCTGAGAGTGAAGCAAGTGGCCGTAAAAGCCAAAGGAAAACCCAAGCCAGAACCTTTTGTGGAAACTTAAGCATGCTCACTCCTGGCAGAGAGGCCACTGGCTGAGGTCAGAGGGGATGTACGTAGACCACAGTGTTACCTGTTTGTTGTGATGCCTGATGATCCCCCCCCCACCCCATGTCAGAATCTCTGTGTGGGTGGAGTCAGGGAAAAGAAACACTGAGTGCAATGTTTTCTGCATATTTAAAGATGTATGTGGGCTGGGATATTATGTAATGTCTGAAGCTGAACAGTTCAGGCACAGTTTTTAATTTACGACACGTTTGGCTCAACACTGTCACATCGTATAGAGCCTCATTATGGTAGCATCTTGACAAATAAAAAGAATACATGTAATGAATGTTATTCATTCTTTTAAACAATTCCCATTGCTCCATTACAGGACGCATCTCAGGGCTGGAAGAAGAGGTGAAAGAAGTGAAGTCATCTCTTTCCAAGGTCCAGACTGAAAAAAAGGAGCTACAGGAGAAGCTCAGTGAGCTTGAGAAGGTTGTTTTTGATTACTCATTACAAATTTCCAAATTGAAGGGAGAAGTATTCCTCCTTTTGTTCATTAAATAAGACACTACGACTCCAATATCCATTTTTGACCCTTTAGAAAAAGAGCAACCAAGAGATCGACCTTACGTTCAAGCTGAAGTCCCTGCAGCAGAGTCTGGAGCAGGAGGAGGTAGAGCACAAGGCCACCAAAGCTAAGCTTGCTGATAAAAAGAAGACCGACCAATCCATAGAGGAGGCAAAGTCCGAGGCCTTAAAAGGTGAGGAAGTGGGAGGGAGGAAGAGGGAATGTTGATTGGAGAGTACTCTCAAATGTAAAAGTGATGGTTTACACCATATTTAACTCACCTAACCAAAGTAAGGGATTGCCTTAAGCAAAAGCCAGTCATGAAAGGGAAAAGGTGACTTCTGCTGCTTTTAAAAGCTGTTGAAGAAACAAATGAAGGGTCGATTGATGTTAAACATTACTGACAAATAATTCTAGTTCATTCCCAGCAGGTTGACAGAAAACTCGGAACAGACTGATGTTTCGATTTGTTGCTGATTGTCCCTCTCATGCTAGTCCATTTAATTCATGCCACAAGCAAGTTTAGTGAAAGACAGCAATGATCTGGCAATACTCCAGTGTCGAGTGCAGTGTAGATTGTCCTGCTGATGTCTTTCCTTGCGATTTCCTTCGGTTCAGAGATGGAGTGCACCCTGCAGGAGGAGCGCAGCTTGAAGGTGCAGGTGGAGGGAAAGCTGCTGCAGCTAAAAAAGGACTACTCCATGCTGGACTGTGATTACAAGCAGGCGGAGAACAAGCTGGATGAATTTCAGGCACAGAAGGAGAAACTTTCTGAAGAGGTTTGTCCCAAATGAAACATGAATGACAAAGTAGTAACTTTAGACATTGTTTTGAAGAAATGATCCTACATCAAATATTAAGAGTTTCAATGTTACCCATTTTAGCAATCTCTAAAACAACAACCTCACAACAGCTCTCATTTACTAACGGCGTGTACGCACAAATCTGTTCATGAATCGAGCTCACAAACCTTTCATACACAAATCAGTTTTAATATTTTTAGATCTGAAGTTTTTTGTTTTGTTTTTTTGTTTTTTTGTAGCATGAACAAATTTACATGTATTTCTGATCATGCATACAAACAAATGGCCTGGCCGTTCTAGGAGTTTTAATCATAAGTCTTTAAAATGAATACTGCTGCTACTAATACTACTTATCATTGTAACCCTTATTGTTATTAATAATATTATTTTTTGGTTTCTATTACTACCACACCACTTTTGGGTCATTATTTACAGTTTTCAAAGTCCATAAGCCATAAAATCCTCAAAAAATAAAATAAAATACTAAATGGAAAGCTCTCTGGTATTGCTTATCTTATTTTAAATGATCTTATCTTGTCATTGTAAACGACTTCCATCATTTCTGGATATCATCACTTACACTGTCATTTCCTGGCACTAACCCAGATGCTATTTATTTATTTCTTATTATTATTATTATCATTATCATTTAATATTTGAGGATTTAAACATTTTTTTCTAACTTGTGTCACAGCGAGCATCTCAAAACCTTTTACTAAACCTGAAGTTTTCTTTCCCACTTTTCATAAATCCAACAGTACTTTTTCACACACTTGTTAAAATTAAAGTAAATTAGGGTGTTTATCTAATCCACTCAGCAATGGCAACTGTGGAAAAACAAAGCAAACCTGAACAGAATAGATAAAAGTCAACAAAGTAGCAAATGAAGAAGAAAATCTGGTTCCATTGTGTGCAGTGATCATGACTACAACAAGGAAGGTGTGCCATGGAAAGAAATCGTGCCTTGCAATGCATTCAGCCGGTATTATCGTTACAGTATGTGTACTATGTATATAATCATCACACTGCTTGACGTAAACTTTCTAGACTGTTGAAATTTCACATTGTTATTTTACCCACTGAAGAAAAATTCATTTGGGGGTAAAATCATATTCTGCACCTGTTCATGGCTTTGACTGAACAAAAAAAACATTATCACAGACTTTATATCTACATTCTGCGGTGATGAATGAGGAAAGCTAGGTGGGTGACCAATGGCCTCTTGTAATGAGCATTTGATTTTATTTTCAAGCATTTTGTACAAAGTGGTGCTCACTTGTTCTGAAGCTATACCCTCTGTGTCTAACCAGCTACTCGTAGGACTAACCACAGCTTTGCATCCCTGCTTGTGTCTTTACAGGTGTTGCACCTGACCTCACGTCTGGAGGAGGAGATGCACAAGCGGAGTATGAGCCAGAGTGAACTGAAGATGCAAAACCAGCAGGTGTCTGTGCTCCAGTCCTCTGAGAAACAGCTCAAACAGGAACTCAACCAACTGTTAGACATGAAGCAGATGCTGGAGAAACAGAACCAGGAACTACGGAGGTCAGACACATGTCCATATCCTGCATACTTGTTCATTTTAATTTCAGTATATACTGTAGCTGCCCTTAGGAAGTATTTAATAGCACATACAGTCTTCATACTACTTTTGACACGTCTACATTGCAGAGGATTGTGCATCAAAATGCCCTGAAAAGCATGATGGCTCGCTTTATGCAGAATGCAACCACATGCAATTGCACAACTTGGTACTTTTAAAATACAGTGTACTTGAACATACTAAATCTTTTTCTGGCTAACTAAGTAGGTAGTATGAGTATTGGACTGCACCCATGATATCTAATGAGCATAATATGCATATACAAATATAGCAAGAGTATTAGTGACTTTTTAATGTTGTTGGCAAGTCTCATTCATTTCCTCTGATTTAAAGGCATTGCTTTGGCTCTGGTGTTCAGTTGGCCTGCAGCAATGACTGACAGATTTCTGGTCCTGTTTCAGGGAAAAGCAGGAGGCTGATGGCCAGCTGAAGGAACTGAAGGACCAACTGGAGGCACAGCACTGTTTCACAGTAACTCTTTCTTTTCTTTTCCTTTTTGTGCATGCTATCTGCAAACAGCAGTGACAGCCAAATCACTTCAGTTGTACATTTAAGTGAATTGGCTTTCCCTAGCTCCTCACACGTTTACTCTGTAAGTGTAATCTAAAAACTGATTGGGTCTACATGATTTCTTTATCAAAGACCCTTTACAAGACGCAGATCCGTGAGCTGACGGATGAGCGTGATGAGAAGAATAAGCTGTACGAAGAGGTGCAGCAGCAACTGGCAGAATACCAGGAAGAAAGGTAACTGTGGCTGTTGTGCTTTGATAAGCCGACTCTGCATTCAGTATAAAAACACTGTAAACACTTAATCACCAGATTAGTATGGAAATTGACATAAGCAGCGAAAAACGAACCATTCAAACTTGCAGTTTTTAAAGTGGCAGTTAAATATGTGTCTCTCAACTCTACAAAATTCATTTTATCTGTACTTGAAGAATATAGCAGTTTTCTCAGATTAGTGTCATTTCCCTTGTTCAAATTAATCTCAGCCAAACAGAAGGACACGACCTTTCACAGACTGAATGAAGCTGAACCAGATTAGCAGCTGTCCCAGATGCACTCGAGCCAAACATTATTGTGGACATATAATGCTTTCAAATTCAGCAGAGACAAAAAAGTCCCAGAAATATCAGTGCATGGTAGCACTACAGGCTGTTGATTTTTAGGTAATAACAGCAGGGATCTTCCTGTCTTTCTAGGATTTATACAGCTCTGGTAATTAATAAGATAATGGTAATTCATGCTCTCTTTCCCTCTGCAGGAAGTCACTGACAACCCGGCTGGAAGAAAGCTTGACCAAAGCAGACGCTGAGAAGTTGGCTCGTTCTGTCGTTGAGGACCAGTTCTCCAATCTGGAGAAAGAAAAGATCATGAAGGAGCTAGAGATCAGCGACATGATGATGAGGCACCAGCAGGAGCTCAGCGATAAGGAGGCCACCATCAGCTCGGTAAGATCGGCTCAAGTTTTGTTTGTTCGAGCCAAAAAATGTTTGTTAGCTGTTTGGATGAAGTCCCTGCCTGCTGTTGCTACATTTTTTTTGTAACTTATCACCTTCTCAGAAAATCTTGACACTTCTGTATACCACTGGTTGTAGCTAGAAACTCTGCAAGGTATCTTTAATGCCCTGGGAAATATTTAGTTATGTCAGTAGCAATTTACCCTCAAGACCATCATTTTTGCAACCACATAAACTATTAAGAACAATAAGAGTCACTAATGTTTGGCTTGGCTTTGTTCCCTTTTATTCATTCTGGAAAGCTCAAAGTACATTTTGTTTTGAAATGAGTTAAAGTATTCTTGTCACCTGACTGCTATGCAGAGTATCCACTGATAACATCGCCTCACCTCTGCTCTATCCACCTTCACAGCTGGAAGAGTCCAATCGTACGCTGACGGTGGATGTAGCCAACCTGGCCAGTGAGAAGGAAGAACTCAACAACCAGCTGAAAGAAATGCAACAAAGTGAGCGTCACTCTTCTGTAATGAGCAACCGATAAAAAACTAATTTCTATCAAGAAGTCATTTCCTCCAAGTTATAGAATGTGTGTTAAAAGTTGGCATTATTTACGCAGATAAAGATGTAAAATTGTCAGAAAAGTAGCCACTGTTGTGTTTATCGAAAAACAGAGTATTTGTCCTGTAAATTGTTAACCAAATTTCTGAAACATTGTGTTAAGAAACATGTATGAGTTTTGATTTGCTATTTTTATAGAACTCCAGAAAGCAAAAGATGAAGAGAACTATTTCAAAGAGTCCTTTGATAAGCAGCTGTGCAACGAAAGAACGCTAAAAATTCAGGTGTGTGTCTGGGTGCCTGCACAGGTCTGGAAAGTCTGCTACACTTTATTTTTTGCATGCTACTCTTGTGTCATATCAGTTGTTAAGAGTAATTTTCTGCTACAGGGTTGTGTTGAACTCTGGGTAAAAGTTACTGAAACATATAACATATTGCTGCAGGCTTTCCTGTTGAATTTACCAGGCTTGTATTTATCATAAATAGATCTCTGTAAAAGTATATATTACATGATTTATTTTTTTTTCTCTCAGGCTGTGAACAAACTGGCTGAGGTGATGAACAGGAGGGAGAAGGTGCGGGGAGGCCACCAAGGCACTGACACCGAGGTGCACAAGAAGGAGAAGGAGAACAGGAAACTGCAGCTGGAGCTGAAAGCAGAGAAGGAGAAATTCAGCACCGCCATCGTAAAATACCAGAACCAGCTGGCTGAAATGGAGGCGGTCAGTACGCCCACACTCCCAGAAAATAAACGCACGGCGTATAAGCAGATACATTTGCCAGAAAGAATCAGTGAGATACTGAGAGAGGCTGAATGTTGATTACCAATTAAAATTCTTACTGTAGAGAAGGAGACGGACAGACAGAGATACTGGGGGGGGGAAAGACTTGGGATTTTCTAGAATTTCTCAATATTTAGTGTCAGCTAGAGATTTGGAGTGCTTTCTACAGGACCTGAGCTGAGAGTGCATAGAAGATGGATGAAGCTTTATTACTATCTATTGGTTTGTTTACTTTTGTTTAAAAGCCTCAATTTTTCTATTATTTCCCTCAGCATCTTGGTTTTTTGAAGCCAGAAATGGCCATATTTGAATGAAAAGTGTTTGAGGGTTGGTAGGGATGGCCAATTCATAGTGGTAAATTCCCAAATAATACTCGGTGGATCACAGACTTCTTGGACAGTTTTGTTTTTGTTTTTTTGTTCAGTTAACCACACACACGGAGACCAAAATATTTGGCTGATTAATTGCATTTAAAATGCTTCCAAGGCTACCGACAGCCCCAAACACAGACAAGAGCTCCATTTAGCGACTTTGTGAGCAGTACTGTCAATCAGTGTTGATGGGTATTGTCGGCGGCGGCATGGACACCCAACTTTGTGAATACAGTAAGTCAAGAACGAGGTGATGTAGGACTTTCAAATTGATATCTTAAGTGCATCCACTAGGAGGCTGAGGAGTAGCACTGGTGGCCATTAGTGTATTTATTTTAAAACTGGGGAAGTTTAACTACTAATCTCTAATCATCTTTATTTCTGCTGGAAAGTTGGGCACTTTCATTCTGCAGATGGGCTCTTTTCAAGTCAGCTTCAGGTGGCCATTCAAGGAATTGCAGCTTGATATGTTTTGGTTTTTTGTTTTTTTTACTTCATTTAAGATGCTATGAAATTGTATAGGGGAAAACATTTCTCCATGTTGATCAAACTGAAAAAATATGCACTTTATATTCTTGGAAGAAAATATCCATCGTTTCTGTGTTTCTAATTATTTCCCCAATATTCTGCATTAGAAGTAAGAAAGTGAGTTCAGCTAACAAGCTGTTTGTTTATTTAGCTGATGGCAGAAGAGAACCTGATGCGTCTAGATCTTCAGATGACGCTGGACAGTAAAGAGAGCGACATTGAGCAGCTGCGATCCCAGATCGCATCCCTCAGCATTCACTCTCTGGACTCCACCAGCATCAGCAGTGGCAACGACTTAGATTTAGAAGGATACCCAGGTAGATCCTTCATCCTGCTGTCATCATCGCAAAGATTTTCTTTAACATTTATATTCAGGGCCCGAAAGCACTTCTTTATACCTTTTTTCCAGTCCTTTCTTTTTCCTCATTATGCCTTTTCCTTTTCATCCCTTTTATTTCACCTTAACTTCTCTCTTCATGGTCCGGTGCAGTGCGCATTACTCACTCTCACACCTCAGAATCAATGTCCTTCACCTACCAGCGCACACACAAATCCGTCTGCATCGACACTCGGCCAAACCTTCGCTCGGCTCACGCTCTCTTTGGCTCTGACTCTGAGGACGAAGAAGAGCATGATGGGCGTCAGGAGCGGGGCCAAACTCCCTTGGCCCTTACCTATGAACCGTCCTCTGAGCCTGAAACCGAACCTGAACCTAGAGGTGACCCTGCATGGCAGTTCAAAGCCAGGATGTGGATTGAAACTAAAGCAAAGCAATTTTTTTTGAAAGAGCTTTTTACAATATTTATCCATTAAATTATGGATGGGGGGTTCATTTTCTTCTCTAATTTGAGTGAGTTTGGAATAAAATAACTCCAAACCCTTGCCTGACACCGCGAACCTGTAGCTAATCCCTGTAAAGTTTGGCTTTCTCTCTAATCCTTGCAATGCAAACACACACAGCTTGATGCAGCACGGCTTTGCTGAAATTTATTCCACTACCAAAGATTTGGAGAGTGAAGTTGTGTGTGGATTTCTACTAATAATTAAGTTACTTTCTTTCTTTTTATATCTCTACTATGCACTTGTTATGTTTTGGAATTGCAGTTCCTTAGAAATCTTGTAGTTCTCGCGTAATAGTCTCAAACCAGAGAATAGGACATCCTGTGCCTTGCCCTTTTGTATTACTGAGGAAGAATTTCCTTTCTTCTTAAAGAAAGTGCCACCAAAGCATGAGATGTCAATATTTGCTTTTAAGTGATTTGCACAATTAAAGGTTTTTGTGTTTTTGTATGTTAACACCTTCCTGTTTTTCCTCCACTCATTAGACTCCAGGCTGGAGGGCTGGATCTCACTTCCTTCCAAGAACACCAAGCGATTTGGTTGGGACAAAAAAGTAATGAATCCACCAATATTTCTTGCATTTAAAAAATATATATATTTTCCCCATATATTGTTATATTGTTTGTTTTCCATTTCCTTTACAGTATGTGGTGGTGAGCAGTAAGAAGATCCTGTTCTATAACAGCGAGGTGGATCGAGAGCAAGCTAACCCTTTCATGACCCTGGACCTTGAGTGAGTCATTAAAAGCACCTTTTAAACATGGAACACATTAGTAAATACAGTGGTCCCTCGTTTATCGCGGGATTAACGTTCTAAAAATAACCCGCGATTATTATAGATGTTTTAAGGCTGTAAAACCTTTTTCAAGCCAGGTCTAGAGTTCTAGATCATCATAACTGTAACCTTTGTCAAATCTCACACTTTGGGAGAGCAGCACCAATCATTGTTAGCCAATAGTGCTTTGCAATATCATACTAAAATAAATATCTGAATCCCAAATAACTGAGATCATCTAAAATATAACACTGAATTTGACTCAGAACATGTTTTTTTTCTTTTGTTTGTCCAAATTTAAAAAAAAAAAAAAAAAATCATTTTACATTTTAAGTCACCATCTTTTCCATCAAATGCTCCACAGAGAGCATGGTGACTCACCGCAAAGTCAAAGCTATGCAGATTTTTGGTGGAAAATAATAGAAATGACCATAGAAAAAATCAGCTCGAATAAAGACCACAAAACTACACAGAGCAGGTGGAAGTCAACTGAAACTCAAAGGTTTGTGCTATCAGAGGGTTAAATGCCACAGTTACAACACATCTCTCAATACTGTCCTACTTTATGCCTTGTCTGGAAGTTAAGGTAAAACTAAAAATGATGAATGTTGCCGGGTGTTGGATTCATCCTCTGGGAATAATCAATCTTTGCAATGGCAAACAGCAACATGGGAATAAGTTAAAGCCGGTGTAAACAATGGGATTTGATAATAATGCAAGACAATAAAAACAACCAAAACTGATCTGTTGTTGCATTTCAAGTCTTCTTTTCTTTAATAAATTTGAATCACTCTATATAAAGTAGGTTTCTCATACTGGGTGGGCATTAGACTTAATTTCTGCATCTCTCTCACTCTTTCAGTAAGCTGTTTCATGTCCGGCCTGTAACTCAGACTGATGTGTACCGTGCAGATGTCAGAGAAATTCCAAGGATTTTCCAGGTAATGAGTTGAGATCGTCCATGTTTCCTTCTCTTTATTTTCTTGCTTTCACGGACCTTCAAGACAAAACTTCCTCTGTAACTTTTAAGTTTTAACTGCATTTACCGCCTTCTGTCTCTCCAGATCCTATATGACAATGAAGGTGAGAGCAAGCGTGAGCAGGATGCTGGAGCTGAACCCACAAACTCTGGTGATCGCGCCTCATACATCAGCCACAAGGGCCACGAGTTCATCGTCACCCTCTACCATTTCCCATCCAACTGTGAGGTCTGCACCCGGCCTTTGTGGAACGTCTTCAAGCCTCCACCAGCGCTCGAGTGTCGTCGCTGCCACACCAAGTTCCATAAAGACCACCTGGATAAAAAAGAAGTTATTATACCCTGCAAAGGTCAGCATGCTCACTCAGGATTTAACAGGAAACTTGATTTTTACAGTTGCACTAAAATTACCCAAAATTACCCAGATGCATAGTACATGCATCTGGGTTCAAACATCTGGTTTACAAACAGCCCCAAAATATTAAAATTAATTGCTGTCACGATTCAAAATAAAGAAAACGCACAAAAACACAAGATTAGAATGGCACCATCATGTAATAGATTTATGTATACATCATAGACTTGATATTGGGGTGGGGGAGGTGGGTGGGTCCAAAGCTGTTCTTTCTTGTTCTCACACACATCAGGATATAATCCACCTCACACAGGCTGCCTGGGTGGAGTGCACAACACGCAGAAGACACTAGAGTCCAATCAGATATCACACAAAACTTAAATGGTTAAACCCATTTAATGTCCCATCTACTGCATCCAATATTCATTCTCACATGTCTACATGTCTAAAAAAGATCAAAGCTAAAGTGGATGTATGAAAAGCTGCAAAATCTAATCTTGGTCATAAAAAGGAAATATCTGTCTCTTAATCTTTTTTTTCTTTTTTTTTTTTAAATCTTATTAACAGTGAATTATGACATCTCCACGGCCAAAGAACTACTCCTCCTGACCAGCTCTCAGACGGAGCAGAAGCACTGGGTCAGTCACCTCCTTAAGCGCATCCCGAAACACCCGACACTGAGTCCTCCCCCTGTGGCACGCAATTCCCCTGAAAAAATACCCCATTCCTCTCCACAAGTATCCCCACGACCTTCGCCCAAGTCCTCTCCTCGCATGTCCCATCGAGGCGCTGTAAAGATCCAATCCACCCGGCAGCAACCGTCATCGGGGAAGCCAAGGTAAGAAACCCACAAAAACCACCCTTTATTCTTAACTATAAGCTTTAATTTTACATACTGTCTGGGGGTATCCCCTTCACAGTCATCTAGGAAAAATGTTTTTCAGTTTTTATTATTATTATAATAATAAAACTGAGCATGTTTAAGAAACTTCACCAACATTGATGTTTTAAGAAACTAACAACAGAAGTATAAAAATGCAATTTGTTCAAATATTTATGCAATAAAAATAATATGAGCATTTGTAATTTAAATGAAATAAATATGCAGCAGATGCTGCTTGTTATTTTACTTGACTAATCTAGTGCTCATCAGGAGATCTTTTGTGTTTTGATTTGTGCTTTCTTGTCCTTATTCTCTTCTCACTTTCAATTGTCTGAACCTTTTCTGACCTTTTGTTAGCATGAAAAATACCTTATTTTTTTCATGCAGGTAAATGCAGGTAAAGGTCTTAAACGCTGTTTCTTAACTACATTGTCTAGCTTCTGCGTAGTTGAAACAAACCCAAAGCTCTGGCTGATGTACAATATTTTGCTTTAAACTGACTTCTGAACCTTCCCATCTGCATTAATGATGCAGCATTAATGCTCGCACACAGCACCTCACCGAGCATCAGCAGTGACTTGACTGAGTAGAAAATGGCATCAAACCTTTTGTGGGACTAATTAACTGTATCTGTCTTGTTTTATGAGAACATTAATGCAGTTAGTAGTTTCAACTTTCAGCCACACCCTAACTTGCTTTTGTCCTTCAGCGCTGGCCCCATGCTCCGTATCATCCTCCACTGACCCCCGATCTCTTCACCTCTGACCCCACCATTTCTAACGTCTCTCATGCTGGGAGACTGTAAGTAGCATAGCTTGGTGATCCTCTCCACCTGCATCGCTGCCGTGCCTATTAACCCACTCATCATAAAAAGCAGCGTAAAGTACCTGGTGAACCACTAACCATCCCACTGGTGCCCCCTTCTGACAGTGGCATGTGTTGTCTAGCATATTAACACATCACTAAAGGCTGTCTGTTAAGGTACACAGCCATCTAGGTCATCATAGTCTAAGGAGCTTGGAAAGAAAAGCGTTTGGACTTCTTTAAGTTTCTTGAAGGCGTTTCGCCTCTCCCAATAGGACTCTCCCTTTTGAGAGTGTCCCTAAGGAAGGTCCTGATAGACACTTCCAATCGGGCTTAAAAATCTGGGCCTCACCACCAATTGCTCTTAGAACTGAAGAAGCTTCTCGGATGAGAGGCGAAATGTCTTCAAGAAACTAAAGAAGTCCGGACACTTTTCTTTCCAAACTCCATAGATCACTAAAGGCTCTTTGACCACTAAAGGCTCCTTGAACCCCTCATACTTGATGTTTCAGACTGTTTGAGTTTGACCTCAAAGACTGGAGTTGGGCATTGGATGATGACGATAATCATGATGATGATGATGATATGTTCTTCTGAAGAAGGTTAAAGAGGAGGGACAGAGGGTAACTGGACCTCTGCATGAGATGTGTGGCTTTAACGTATTGAGGCATGCTTTTGTGTGCTTTCCAAGTTTTCAGCTAAATGCAACTCACCTCGCTGTTTAATCCCGAAGTTACAAAATGCTTCAGTTAATATCACCAAAAAATCAGAAATATTAGGGAAAATTCTGGTTCGAGTAAATCCATGAAATAATATAAAGTTTTTCTTTTAAGTCTTGCTTTTAAGATGACAAAAAGTGGCTAGTTAGCTTAGCTTATCTTAACATGAACCTCAGATTATTTCTTTTGAATGTCAGTTAATGTGCAAATCAGCAATTCTCATAATTTGTGGGATCAATATTTATTAGTAGGTTATATTCAAGTGAGACGGGTGCTAGTTGTTTGTCCCTGTTTCTTTCCTTTATACTAATTGCTATAGTTAGCCTAACCCCTTTCACAGCAGCCATTTTGACATGAAATAGCAAGTAAACACAACTGTTGCTAATCACACTAATTGAGGCTCTTTAGCTTAAAAAGAATAGAAGTAAAGTGAGTAGCAACACGTGTTTTCCTGCTGTTATATGTCTACGAATGGGCGTCTTCCCTGTAATATTAAACCATTTCTTCTACTTCTATTTTTCTTTGGGCAAACATGCACACTAATAAATATAACTGTGTCTGCCTGCTTTTTTCCCCTGCATCTACACTTTCATTATGTGGTTACTGGGTAGCTTCCTTGTTTATTAGTCTATGTGTGGATTTTGTGTGGGCGTGCCTTTGAAGTCCTGCCATACTGTTGGTAGCATACCAGGTTTTTCTCATCTTCTTTTTTGTATTTTCCTCTATCTTCACAGTTAACCCTGGCTAATATTTTCATCCGTGTGGAGTAATGGTGGTCTGGAAGCGGTGCCTACGTGTGTTATGTTTTTTCAGAGAAGACTGTCAAAAAAAAACAAAACACAAAAAGCCCTAAAAAAAACACTAATACAGACAGAAAACTGGCTGACGTCATGAGAAAAAGGATTTATTTTTTGGTCATTTTAACAAAAGGAGAATCAGGACAGTCTTCCCATTACAGTGACTCATCCAGTGAAAAGATGCGACAATCTTCACGATTAAACTGCCCTTTTTTCTTTTTAATAATCATAATTATGACAAGACTTTATTTTCTTTTTCTCTTTGCGTTTGTAAAAAGATTACGCATGTGTTTGAACATTTGTATATACGATAAATATCTATATCTGTGTATCGTAGCACATAACGTGAAGCTAATAGTATATATGATTGTTTTGTTTCTATGACCACATCACACACTATATATGGTTGTCCTGTAAATGTATTAAAACGGTTTTATGGCTTCTTTTTGAGTTAAAAATTAGCCTTTTATAAGTACATCTGTTATAACATGCGAGAGATCAATGTGAACTCAACTGAAACAATGTTGTTGTTTTTCTTGCGCTTCATGACAATTATTGATTGTTCATATATGTTTAAAATCCCATGTGTAGAATTTTTGGGGTGATACATTAAAAAAAATGTAAAAAATCAAGACTTAAGCATTTCAATTAGTGCCTCTGGTGATCGTATTTGTTTGTTGTGCATGCCTATTATTTAAGTTTTTGAAATTTGTAGAGAGTGCATCTAAAGCATTGGCGATATACAGCCTCTGCCTGATTGGGTCTAAAAGGAAGTGATTTATATCAATTAACGTGGTGTATGAAACAAAACATGGAAACAAGGGCTAGTACATGGTCTCTCAACCCATATCTAACATGTGACTGTTTTTGAGTTGTTAGTGTTAATATCAATGAAAAAGCAGTTTATTCTGTATCATATTGGTAAACAACAAAACAGTACCAAATAATTATGTTATACTACAGCTATGAGTGTATTTAAAGTGACCATTTGTATTACACCAGTATAGGTGTCTCACTACAGTATGTGGTGGTGAGCAGTAAAAAGCTCCTGTTCTATAACACTGAGCTGGATCGAGAGAAAGCAAACCTCTTCATGACCCCGGACAATGAGTGAGTCATTAAAAGCAGCGTTCAAAAATGTTGACTAAATGAGAAGTACTTTGTGTACCTCATGATGCAAAATACTGAACAAATGAAAATTCTAGCAAGGCTCAACGGGAAAAGCTTTGGAATCTGCAAATGGGTTTTAATTTCCATAGGTTTTACACAAAAACATTCACAATCCATCCAGTACAGTTTTACCAAATGCAACTTTGTCTAAAATGTAGAGCATTATCCCAAATTTTTATTGTTTCTACTTTTCAGACCTTCCTGCATTGCAGGAAATACCCTTTTTTGGTTTTTTAAGGATCCGCTTCTATCAACCAAAGCAGGTGAACCTGTCATCATCTTTTCCATCTTATGTATGGAGCATGAAGAGTTATAGCAAAGTCAAAGCTGTGCAGGTTTTGGTGGAATATAATAGAAACGGCTGTAGATAAAATCTGCTGCAATAAAGGCCATGAAACTGCTTATAACTGCACAAAGTCGTTGGAAGATGAGTAATTTTTCACTTTCCCACAGGATAGAATATGATGTGCCCGTCTATGTATATGCACATTTTCCTCCTGTAACCCAAGAGTTATGCAACAGTTACTTGAATAGAAATATGATATGAACGCATGAATGTGAGTTGCTCTTATATTTGTTGTAAAAGGAATCTGGGAAAATTACATCCATATAAAATGTTTTGTCCTTCAATTCATTCAAAATTTTAACCTTTCTCTAACATTTACTTCTGATTACTCTCATCTAGGAACTGTTTGGAAATTTTTGGTTTTAGTTAATCATGTTGAAAAAAATTTATGATTCAGTTGGTAATGAAATAAATAATCTCAACTGGCTTGATTTGCCAATTAATGGCATTTTCTTTACAATATTTTTAAATCATTCTATACCTAAAGTAAATATCTTGCTAGGCTAGCACTAGACTTAACTTCTCCATCTCTCTCCCTGTTTCAGTAAGCTGGTTCGTGTCAGATCTATAAGTCAAAGTGATGTGTACCGTGCAGATGCCAGAGAAATTCCAAAGATAAAGGTAATGAGTTGGGACCATCAATGCTTTCCTTTCTGTCATAGACTTTCAAGACTCATCAGCTATCCAATCTTCAGTTTACCCATCTGCTTCAAGTAAATCGTAAGTGTTGCATTTGCCTTCTTGTCTCCCCTGATCCAGTATAACAGTGAAGACGACATCAGGCGTGAACAGGACACTCCATTGGAACCCGTGCCGCATGGCGATCGCGGCTCCTACATCAACCACAGGGGCCATGAGTTTATCCTCGCACTCTATCATTTTCCATCCAGCTGTGAGGTCTGCAGCCGGCCTTTGTGGGACTTATTTAAGCCTCCGCCAGCGCTCGAATGCCGCTGCTGCCACGCCAAGTTCCACAAGGACCACCTGGATAAAAAAGAGAACGTTATTGTACCCTGCAAAGGTCAGCGTGCTCACTCAGGACTACAGGGAGAGCTTAACTTAAACAAATAAAGATTCCTCTGGGGTTTTTGAGTGATTTTTATGTACAACCTGAATTCCAAAAAAGTTGGGATGCTGAGTAAAATGTCAATAAAGACAGGATGCAATGATCTGCAAATTTCATGAGCCGATATTTTATTTACAATATAACAGAGAAAGTATATCAGATGTTTAAAATGAGGAATGTACTTTTTTTAAGTTCATTTGATGGCAGAAATGGGTCTAAAAAAATCTTTGGATTGGAACATCTTTACAACTGTGTACCATCTCTTTTAACAATAGTCTATAAATGTGGGAACTGAGATGCTGGACTTTTGGGAGAGGAATGTTGTCCCATTCTTGTCTCATTTAAAATTCTAGCTGCTCAAAAGTCCTATGTCTTCTTTTTTTATGTTTCATGATGTGCCAAATTTCCATTTGTTGGCTTGAACTGTAGTGTCTCGCTGAAATATGTGAGGCATCCTGAAAACGACACCTTCTGGATGGGTATATATGCCTTTCGAGATCATGGCTGCACAATATTGATTTTTAGCTTTGTCCCTTGCGCACAGACATTTCTCTGGATTTTCAGAATCCTTTGACGATATTATGTAATACAGAAGATGACATATTCAAAGTCTTACGCCATTGTCCTGAAATTATTCGATAATTTCTGAGTGGATTATTTTGCATCTCTGCCCATTTTTACTTCTGAGAAATGCCTGTCTAAAGTGCTCATTTTATGTTAATTGTTACCAGCTAATCTAATTAGTTGTAAAATGTTCCTTTCTTTTACTTTTCCAGCCCTTTGTTGCAATGTTACATCAAAGTGAACTAATATTTTTTCATGTTAAGCATTTGATATCTTTTCTCTGTCCTTTTGGGAATAAAATAGGACTTTATGAGATTTGCAAATCCTTCCATTCTGTTTTTATTTACATCATACAGAATCCCAACTTTTGAGGAATTGGTCTTCACACATTTAGCTAGCAAATGTAGGTGTGGATTTTGTGTAAGCAACCTGGGATTTCTCATTTCCTTTCTTGTGTTTTTCTCTTCACAGTGAACCCTGGATAGTATTTCCATTCACATGCAGTAATGGAAGCAGTGTCTACGTGTGTTGTTGCGAGTGACAAAATCCAAATACTAATGTGGACAGGAAACTGGTGTCATGACAACTGGGATTTCATTCGAGGAAAGTGCATGTTGTATCCTTCGTGATTAATTCTAATTTGCTTCCTGATCATTGTCATAGGCGTGTGTGTAAACATTTGTGTACACATTAAAAGATCTCTCTTTGTATCATACCACACAAAGTGTTGCTGTATATTGCTGTATAAATCAGCACCACATCATCCAGTATATATGGTTGTCCTGTAGATTTATAAATACAGTTTTAAGTGGAAGGCTTTACGTTTTCATGAGCCTTTAATTACAACTGTTATAACACATGCCAGAATAATCTGAACGATACAGAAACAATGGTTTTATTCTCATTTGTGATAATTATTGATTGTCCATATACAGTATGTTTAAAATCTCAAGGTGATGCATTAAAAGAAACCCTTTAATAACAATAACATAATACATTAACAGCATTTCAATGAGTAGCTCTGTTGATTTATGTTGTTCATTGATGTCCGTCATTAAAAACTATTCAGACTTACTTTGATATAGAAAGTGCGTCAGAAACAGTAGTGATGTACAGATGCTATCTTGACCAGGTCTTTAAAAATCAATCAATCAATTTCAAAGAAAAAGGATTAAAAACAATAAGGTTTAGTATTTGGTAGTATTAGTACTTTTTTTCTTAAACTGCCGAACAGCACTAACAAAATAGTTGTTATAGTTGCACTGAAGCCATCTCTCCGTCAGCAGTATCACATCTGACTACAGCGTATTTTAAGAGACCATTTGAACTATACCAGAATAGGTCCGTCTTTATCTCACAAGTGCATGTGGAGTGAGTGGGCTCCACTAAAATAAATCTTTTAGAACAGCCTAAAGCCAACTGGCACTCATCATACATAATGTAATAGTTCATCATGTTGCCCAGATGCTAAAATCATTTTTCGTACTTGCAGGTCTAATTCATTCTGTCTATCAGCTGTGTGACTGTTCCGGTTAAATTGCAAATGAATGAACCCTGCTGTACAGGCCATTGAGGTCTCAGGTGGCATGTAGCCTCCTCCTGGTGTTTTTCTTCTTTTTCTCGTCAGTGCGCAGTTAGTCTTTTAATTTTATTCCCAGTTTTTAAAAAAATGAATTCTTTTTGCCTAAAGCATTATGCAAAGTACTTGAGTTATTTATCCTACTTCACATTTCTCCTCCACTTTTTGAGATAGAATTTCTTTTTTGTATTTTTTATGTTTTAACAGCTTTTTTAGAGACTCTAATTACCTTATGAATTAAGGGGTTTTTCTAATTGATTCATTTACTTTTGTGATTTTTGTGTGTTTTTGAATTATGGGTGTAAAAACACAAGTAAGCTTGCAATAGTCAATCAACTGCCAGGAGCACAGCATTCCTGGCTTTGACCTGACTTTGCTTTTTACTGCCTCTGCTCTTCCCTGTATATCTGCTTCATGAGGCTGGATTGTCAAGTGGACTGTTTTTCACACTCTAGCATTTATATAGATTTTTACACAAAACAACATTATTTCAAAATGTGACACTCCGAATTTGGCAACCTTACAAACTCTGGTAAACTCCAACCAAGTTGTGCAGTACAGCGTCTGTGAATGCACAAGCAGGTGGGCTACAGCAGCAGCCTACATCAGGCGCCACACCTACAAACAGAAAACTGAGGTTGCAAATTAAACAAAACGTTGGAAAAATGTTCCCTGGTCTGATGAGTCTTTCTTTTCTAACATTTGGACAGAAGGGTCATAATTTGGAAGAATAGATTCATCCTGCTTTGTAGCAACACTTCAGACTGGTGATGGCGGTGTAATGGTGTGGAGGATATTTCTTTAGCGCCAACTGAGCTGTTAGAATGTAGCGGCTGGGTTCAAATAGGAGACTTGAGGCAGAGATGAGGTGCAGACCAACTACAGGTTTATTCACCAACATTAAAATACCAAACCATAACATGGCATAAAACAATGTAGCCGAGTGGTGGGACATGGTGCCAGCAACAGCCTCTGATGTAACTGACAGCCCTTTACAGACTGCTGCTAATTGGCCCTCAAGCCATACCATTATCTGGTGTTACGTAGTAAACATCTTATCGAATAACCCTTATTAATGCCAACCAATACTATAGATATAATTACAATACGTAATTACAATTATTAAAGCAAACGTTTTCCTGCTTGATCTACCAACTACAATCTACAATAAAACTAAAATGGCTAGTCAACGCCCTCTAATATCACATGGTGCCACTGGGAATCATTAAAAAGGCACTCAGGATGCCTGGGGACTCTTGGCTTTTGGCCTTTTGGCAATATCAAGAGAAAATGGACGTAAGACTATCCTGTCATCGCAATATTAACTTAGGGTATACGTTGTCTCTCCTACTAAATAGGTTACACATCAGGTAAGTGTTAAAGTAATGTTTTCCACCAACTTAACCACAACTTAACTTTCCATACTAATTGAAATATATCACTTCTACTTTCCAACACCATTAAACTCATTGCCGACCTCATTGGTTTAGTCCAATCATCTTTCTTCTTGCCTTCTTCAGGACAGTCAACCTCAACTTCGCATACTTTATATCTCACTGCTCCTTTGTCGTTCTCCCTGCATACACTTCTGCAACCCACTTCCTCCCAATGTCCGCCTCTCCCATGTTACTCGAGCTCCATCCAAGCCTCCATCTTTATTTCCACCACCAGCGTCTCGACCCCGGGGGTTCCTGCCCTCAGTCCTATCACAGCTGGCATTCTATTCAGCTAATCACTAAATAGCTTAATTGAATTCTGTTGATCAATTAATCATGTTCAATTCCTTTTAATAAGCTCTCACTGTTGAACAGTTCAATATACTGAAATGGTCATTAGATCTCACCTCTGGGAAAACATTAATTGCTCCACTGTTGCTCCTGGGATCTGTATGTTTCCATATTTTAACATAATAATTAATAGCAGGCTGTTAAATGAAAAGAGGCTGTGCAATTTAAACAGTGACGTATGCAAAATAATTTAATTTCAATGTTAGGTGTGATGTGCCCCTTAACTGGACAAACTAGTTGAACTGTTAGGCCTGAGTCGGCTGACTTTATACTGTTTGCGTGACATATTTTTTCACTCCTGCTGATCAAACATTCTGTGTTGCTGATAAATATTGTTTGAAGAAAAAAAAATCAACCAAATTTTGGAATGCTTATTTTTACCCTTTCACAAGCTCCCTCTTTCCTTCCTTCCTTGCCTACCCCATCCCCTTTCCACTGTTTAAAAGAAAATCTAAAGTACAAATATCTTTTGTAGTTTCATTTTTTTACCCAATAGTAACCAATTAGCCAACAATGTATTTTATTTTCTGACTTTAACTAATAGACTTCAGCAACCTATTTCAGGATCAGGAGTTTTTAGTAGAACTATAGTGTTTTATTCTTGTACTTTCCCGTGAGGTATGAGCTGCTCACTCTGTTGTAACTGGCCTGTCCTTGACAAATGACTGTGCAGTGACTGGTCCGTGTTTACACAATAAGTAATGATTAGGTTGGGAGATTCGTCTCCACAAATGAGTAATTTGGAAGTGAGCAGTGATAAATCTGATATAAGCAGCAGTCTGCAGATGGACACACATTCAATTGCAGTAAGTATTTTTTGTTGTTTTTTTCACTGTCATTTGCGTGTCTGATTGCCATGTGCATAAACTGATTTGAAGATTTGTAGCATTGTTTTGTAGTAAATGCAGATGTAATAATTTCCTTGTATTTAACTCTCACTTCTACTCGTGTTCTTTTCTAGATATGAAGTCCTGGTATGTTCTTGCTTTTCTGTGGTTGTCATGTTTCTGCCACAGAGCTCTTTCCTGCCCAGCTCTCTGCACCTGTTATCCCAGAAGAAATGAGGTGGTCTGTAATGAGCTTCCCCTGACAGAGTTCCCCTCTGACGGTCTCCCGGAGAACACCACCCTGCTGACTATCCAATTCACAAACATCACCTCCATATCTGAGGCCCATCTAAATGCCATACCCAAGTTGCAAGGGCTCCATCTGTACAACAATCACCTGCACAGCCTTCCCTCTCATCTCCTCAGGGGCGTTCCTCACCTCAACACTTTGGATCTCACCGGAAACAGGCTAAACAATCTGCCTGCAGATGTCTTCAGCCACGCCCCACTACAGAGCTTGGTGCTGAAGAATAACCTTATTAGAAAAGCTGATGCAGAGTGGCTTTCTTATAACAGTAGCCTGACCTGGTTGGATTTATCTGGAAATGAATTAACAGAGATCCCAACTAATCTGCTTCTGAAGCTGCCCCACCTGGAGAACCTTGACTTCTCAAACAACCGTCTGGATAAGATACCAGCAAATTCTCTGAGTCAACTGAGCAAACTTGAGAGGCTAAGCCTGCAGAACAACAAGCTCGACACGCTGAATGGATCTGCATTTCAGAGCCTGCATAGCCTCACACATCTCTTCCTCACTCAGAATAAACTCAACAAGCTGCCCAAAAACCTGTTCCAGGGACTCACTCAGCTCAGACACCTGAGTCTGGATGAAAACCAGCTGAGCCATATTCCTCCAGGTTTGCTGGATGAACTTCACTTGCTGGGAGAGGATGGCCTCGACTTGACAGTCAACCCTTGGCTCTGTGACGGGAAGGCAGAGTATCTATGGAGGTGGCTTCACGAGAACAAGAAGAAGGCTTTCTTGCCAGACTCCATCACATGCGCTGGACCTCAGCCTCTAGCAGGTCGCTCAATAATATCACTAACAGCAAATGAACTAAACCTTCAGTCTTAATATTACTCCTGCTGGTCTTTATCTAACATGAAAAGAAATCCAGTTCGGCCTGTCGGATTTGAATCACTAAAACATGATAACTATGTGACTATAAATAAATCTGATTTAAATAAGACTATTGTCTTGTTTTTTATTTCATTAAATTTAAGCTACAGTGTGTTCATGTTACATTGTTTTCTTGTTTAGATTTAAATAAGAAAGTCTGCAGTATTATCATGGATTTTATGTTGGCATTTAGCTTAGCTTCACACAAAGGAAAATAATCCACCCACCAGAACATCTAGAGATCTCTAAAACCTCCTGTTTTGTTTGTTTGTTTGTTATTTTTATTCAAACAATGAATGACATTTGTAGGCAGCTTTTTGGCCAAAACCGGGCCAACCATTTCACCCGTTTTCAACCTTTCTGCTAAACTATAGTATTATAACCTGCTATTCTCGGGAATAGTATCCCTCTATTCATTAAACTGCTAACATTAACAGGCACCAACATATCGTTAGCTTCATAGCATAAGTGCCTAAGTCATTTTTTTGTGTTTTGTGTTTCAGACGGACAGGATGATGCAGCAGTGGTAGGGGAGTAAAGTTAGGCAAAAATCTCAATTTGACCAAAAAATGACTTAGGCACTTATGCTATGAAGCTAACGATATGGTTGTGAACTTGAGGGATAAAAATTAAGCCTAATGCCTATTTTTGTTATTTGTTTTCTTTTTGCACAAGTTAATTAATAATGTATCACACATGTACCCTTGCACATTGTGTTCTTGAAAAACTGAAAAAAAAAAAATTGATTTATGTGTGGTAACATCAACTTACTTTTAGAAAGTACAGAAAACAGTAACCACTCACTTTGTTTGCTTGGTTTTGTTTGCCTATTGCAACATTTTGTCCTGACTCATTGCTGGAATCAAATATCCTCAGAGTTGTGTAAAATCAAGTCAGCGATCAAAACCCGAAGGAATTTCAGCTGTGCTTTTCAGGTAACAACACATTTATAACCACATTGTCACCGTTTTATTACCTGTTGATCTTTTACGCTATTGTTTTCTTCTCAGTGTATTTTTTCTTAAAGATGAACCTGTGGCTGCTTCTTACTCTCACTGCTCTGGCTGAATATGCTTGCCAAACGAGAGGCACCCACTCGTGCCCAGATCTGTGCACTTGCTCCTTTCTACCTTCGAGTGCAGAGGTGGTGTGCCGCCAAAGCTCCCTCACATATTTTCCTGCAGATAGTTTATATCCCAACATCACACGATTGTCCATCCAGTCCACAAACCTCAGCTTCATTACAGCCAGACATCTGAGTTGTGTGCCTCTTTTAAACCACCTCCAGCTGTATCACACTAATCTTTCAAGCCTTCCTTCAGACCTACTGGGTGCCATTCCTCACCTGAGTACGTTGGATCTCACAGGTAATCAGCTGATTCATCTGCCCCCCAAAGTCTTCGGCCATTCCTTGCTCCGTAGTCTGGTGCTGAAGAATAATTTAATTGAAAAAGCTCATGGAGAGTGGTTTTCCGACAACAGCAGTCTCACCTGGCTGGATTTGTCTGGGAACCGTTTAACAAGCATTACAGCTGCTCTGCTTCAGAAGCTGCCTCATCTGGAAAATCTCGACCTAAGTCATAACCATCTGCAAGAGCTACAGCCCGACACACTAGCAAACCTACATCACCTCGAGACACTAAACCTCGCTGGGAACAAATTAATTTCCCTGAAGCCTTCAACGTTTAGTCACAACGTGAAACTCTCACAGCTGTTTCTGCAGGAGAATCAGCTCCGAGAGCTGCCAGTGACGCTCCTCCAGGGTCTGCAACACCTTGAACTTCTGCTGCTTAATCAGAATCGGCTACGGTATCTCCCCTCAGGTCTGCTGGATGACAGAAAATCCTCTTTTCAGATGACCGTAACAGGGAACCCCTGGCAGTGTGATGCCAACCTGGAGTATCTGTGGAAGTGGCTCACTAACCATCCTCAAAATGTCTTCTTTCTAGATGAGGTGGTCTGTGACGGCCCTGAAGCTCTGAAACATAAACAAGTTGTTTCTTTAACTGACAGTCAGTTTGATCCTAAATGACAGAGACTCACAATTAATGATGTGACTGTGAAACAGATGTTTTGCATTATTACTGCACATATAACCAGCCTGTTTCTTGCTGTCATTTATTCCCCCTTTGTTTAGATATTGTCCAGCCCACCGGGTGGCGTAAGATACTCAATAGATTTTCAGCCCAGAGGGCTGGATAGGCAGTATGGCTCATTTACTCAGTATATCCCAGCCAAAAACATGTTAAACCAAATGCATTCACTAATATATTCTCACTGAATTGATTTTCTTTCAGGCTTGTTTTCTGTAAGATTTATAATCGCAGATTGAGATTAAGTAACCCAGGTTTAAAACTGCTCTCACTTCCATAAGGGATCAAACATATTTTCATGAATAATCAATTTATAGTCCAGAGATTAGGACCAGAAATGGACGTCCTTGGTAGAAGAGAAGAGAAGAGCTCTTGTGAGATTCTCATGGTGCACGCTTGCACCAACAGCTCTGTCTCGCTTGTTTGTTGTGTTGCAGATTGCAGCATTGTTTCAGTTGTGCCCTTTTGTTTTTAATGATGTTGAGCATGTGGGAGTGAGTGGGCAGTGCAATGGCTCAGTCTTGCAGCTGACCTCTTCTGGATGTGTTTAAATATCTCCCTTTTTCTTTCTTTAGGTTTCTTTTCTCTCTCTCTTTCTTTCATATTGTGTATGGGTATATATCTTCTGCATGCCCACACACCCCCATACTCACGCCTTGATCACAGTGAGTGCACTGGACTATAATTTATTACTTTTATAGCATATAAAACATTGGAGCCTCTTGAGGCTGTTACTTATGAAAATTAAACCTTGTTCATAAAAGTTCCCCAGAGAGTGGAAGAAGAACTCAAATGGATTCATGTATGTCTTCCATTCCACCTCTTTGAATTGTACCCTGAAGGTTAAAGGTTGAGGAAGTGGGCTCAGTGGTTCAAATCCTAATTCCCTCTAATGAAAATTCTCTCAGGTTGTGAGCAGATGCATTCAACTCGACCTTAACAACGTCCCTTTCTGTTTGTCTTTAATCTGCTTGTGCTTCTACAACCCACAGGCTCTGAGGTTTGGAAGTGTGTGGTAGTGGTGGGCATTACTTTGCAAGGAAAAATGAGGATGAAACTTTTCTAAGTGCTGATGAGCACAGAGGAATGGAGTCTGTCTAACTGTCTGCTAATGAAGAACACTAAAGTCTAATAGATCATATGTGAGGCTTGGAGACAAGAAAATTACTGTAGCCTTTCTGACTTTGTTCTGCAATAATGGAGATGTGATTTTCTTTGATTGCTGCTAATTAGCACATGTTAGAACACATTACTTGGGATGAAATGTGCCAAATTTAAAATAACATATTGTTTTATTTTTCCCACTATATTAGAGGTGCGGTCATTTCAGTGTGTTTTTTTTTTTTTTTAATCGGCAACAATAGTCTTGATTTCTTTTCTTCAGGATGTATCAATGAACTAAAACAGCTTGTTGAGACTCACATTTTATTCTGAATTGAGCAAAGAAGAAATACCTTGATTTTCAAAGGAAGTTGTTTTTTGACTATGTACAACTGATTTTTCGCATTAAATTGACAGAATAATCTGCTGATCTTTTGTCCTCATTTCCATTTTCTTACTTTTTGTCCCTCTACAAGGACTCGAGGAAACCCACCTATGATTAGTTAAGTAGCCTAACATGCATGTGTTAGGACTGTGGATGGGATTCAGAGCACTCTGAGAAACCCCATCATTTATATTAAATGGCTTCAGCTCTACCTCTGTAATACATATCCAGTAAAAATGCCATAATATTGTACGTTGATATATAGATACAAATGCTGTCAAAGTACATTTTGCTGATAAAAGTACACTAAAAAGATTTAAGTGTACAAAGTTGTATTACTACTAAGCAAATTTGACTTGTAAATGATATGTTGATGTATTTCTGGCATGTTAACCAAAAAGGTTACATCACACATGCAGCAGTCATTCATTTAGAAATGTGTTTTTAATGCAAATGTAAACTCTTTTTGCTGTGGTTTTGATCTCTACCATTCAGCGTACTCAGTATCTTCTACTGTCTGCTCTTTGGTCATGAGCAGGAAATGAATAATTGGTTTTCAGAGCCTTTTCTCAAAAGGGAGACGATGCTGTTGGACTGATATTGAATCTTCGACTGGAAAACCACGACAATGAGCCGAGTGACGCTTCAAAATTTGAGCCGAAGTAAAACAGAAGGTTAATAGTCTGCAGTGAGTTAGCATATTCTACTGTTCTAGTGATGGATGGATATTCTTCAGACTTTAGAGAAACCAAAGTCATTATTAGTTCTGCATGTGAGTCAGATTGGGGAGGTTTTCAGCATCAGGGAAAGAGTTTTATGATCTCTGAGTTTGAACAGTGTCGAAACAGATTAGAAAAAGGCTTGCATGTGACTCAGATGTGCCAAAGCTGCACTGCCATGACTTTGACGTCATTGTTTTGCAACTGTCAGTAAAACATGCCAGCACTGATAAAATGAACTGATATGTTTGTACGAGTGTGATTCAGATGGGTTGGTAAGCTTTGAACCAGTTCTTGATTCTGATCCTCGTTCACAACAGAAAAAAAAGTTCTCCCTTAGTCTCACGCTTTTTCTTTTTTTAGTAACTGCTGCTCAAAACATTGAGGTATAATCAAGCGTACCATTATTTTATGCAGGGCACAAACTTAAGCTCAACCACAATCCCAGCAGATCATCTCAGGCCACATCAGCTAACGACCTAACTGAAACCCTTTTATGCATCCTATTGGACAATCTCAGTTTATGACTACAATTCAGGCAGCTTTGGCCTGCCTACATTTAGACCACCAATCCACTTTGCAACCCACCTTCTCTGATCTGTCCGACTCGATCAGTGTTTGTTCTTATCGCCTGATCTTCGCTGTGCTTGGAGCTCGCTGCTACTCCTCCTGCCTCTGGCTCTGGGGTTGTTTTTGTTTTTTACCTGTACTGATGTTGTTCACCTTTATTCCTCGGCTTTGATATTTCGTAGGTCTTACTCACCTTTTTATG